GTTCGACTTGTGCATGGGCGCCTTCTTCCTCGAGAAGCCCATCATTAAACCGTCTTCTTCACTATCATCGTCCTCATCGCTTTCGACTGCATGATCCCCATCATAGCCGGAGGCGTCATCCGCTGGAGGCTCGAATTCGTTACTAGGGAAAGAGCGAACTGTAGATGAAGTCATCCATGAATCATCATCGAACGAGCCGCATCCACCCTGACTTGGTGAACCGACAGAGGCAACCGAGGGTATGGATGGATTCGATTCAGATTGTGACATTGCAGAAAATTGATCCTCGGAAGATGAAAGAGCAAGACCACGGCTTGATCCACCAAGAGGACTATTCTCGGAGGACTGGTCGTTTCGATGCCAATACTCTTGGTTACTTTGCTGGTTGAAGAGAATTTCATCGTCCGGGCTGGGAGGGCAGGCAACCTGGCCAAGGGAAGAATGAGGCCGTTGTGCTGCCGAGTTTGACCTTTCACGAGCCATAGATTGCTCTACCCCAAGACGCCGACGATACTCGTCTTTTGCACGATCAAAAACCTCCTCGGACTGTTCTTGCGCAACAGAGATGGTGCTGGAGGGTCTCCGGTCGCTAGGTTGAGGCGGATAGGGCACCGCACGAGAATTCGGCGATATGCCTAGTGAGGGTCCAACTTCAACGTCGTTTGCAGTGGCCCAGTTTCTGCGCAGACGAGATGACAATGATGACAATGACGATTGCCGCGACGAGGCATCGATGTGACCAAAAGACGGTGTCTCAGAATTGGCAGGAGACGAGGTCCGGGCAATGGGTGACGATGTCTCTTTCAGGGCCTCGGGCTGGTTGACTTGGCCGGAAGCACAAGTTGTGCTGATTGCAAGGCTTGGGACAGCATGCGCATCATCATCACATCCAACCAGTCTGTCGATCGACCTCGTGCGGCTATGTTCTTTTGGGGGCTTTAGCCGATCTCTACTCCTCATACTATTGACCACACGACGTGGAAGGCCTCCGAATAGGCCTCCCAATTGTGAGCCCCCAGGGGTATCTAGGGCCATGGGGGTGCCAGGTAAAGCCGGCGGAATGCCCGGTGATCCTGAACGACCTTGGAGGTCCGATTGGCGTATGGTGTTGATGGACGAAAGTGCACGGTCCTGCAGTTGGGGTCGTTGGCTCTCGGTGATTTGCGCAGGCGATGCGGTCCGGGAGCTGGGGCTGTCAAAATACTTGGACCGCTCCTTTGCCTCTGGGCTAGCGGTAACGCTATGGGAAAGAGGATGCTCAGACTCACGGGAGCGAGTCAGAATCTCCAAGATAGCACCGGGTGCCAGGCTTCCGCGCCTGCCTTCGTATGGTCGAGCATCTTGACTAATGGTACTGCTTGAGGAGTTTGCGCTAATGCTTGGAGTATCCTGATTTGCTGCCGAGCTCTGGGCACGACGTCTTGAACCGGAACTGCGAGTCGTGAAGCCTTTGACAAAGTCGGATGTCTTCTTAGCAGCAAAGCGGAGACGGTCCACGAAGCCAATAGGGACGACGGCTTCTTCGACATCCTCCTTGGAAATTTGAATCTTCCTGCCTTCGAAGGATCTGCTTGGGTCAGTTTCCTCGGCCCAGGAGATGTGGTTGGGAATGCCTGATAGCACCCAAGGATGGCGCTTGATTTCTGGAATAGTGATCCGGTATCGTGGTTCCTTGATTAGTAGGCGTCGCAAGAGGTCTCGTAGGTTTTCGTCAACCTCCTCGTACTCAAGGTCGTGCGGAGCTCTCTTGCTACTCATCGTGGGCTGAGTGTTGCGTCCATGCGAGCTTGGCCGCGAGTTGGAGTGCTCCGCCACAGGCTTCAAACGGAACCGCGGTATATATGGTTCGTCCTCACTGATGACCTTCATCAAGGTAAAGGTGTTGGTATCGTGAAAAGGTACACGGCCATAGATGAGGCAATACAGTGTAACACCAAGAGCCCAAATGTCAATCCCGCCATCAATCGAAGGGGTTTCTGCATCAGTCTCTGTGCGGCAAAGCTCGGGAGCATAGAAGGCGGGCGTGCCAACTGTCTTTGCGAGTTCGATTGCTTCATCAGCTTCTTGTTGCTCAGTCTCTGATTGGTCGCCGTTGGCTTCGTCCGTCTTTTGTCGTCCCAGGTACGAGACACCAAAGTCTGATATTTTGATGCGATGCTCCCGAGTGACGAGAAGATTTGCTGGCTTGATGTCACGATGGATGACATTTTGATAGTGGAGATACTCTATGCCCAGGACAGTGTCTTTGAATGCTTCCCAGGCAGCTTGAGTGGTCATGAGGGGAACGTAGTTGAAGTGGTCTGGTATTTCCTCGTCAGGGTCGGTCAAGCGAGACGAGGAGCTACCGGCGAGGCTCGGCACGCGTCCCCGGGTGAAGTCTGAGTCGTAGGGACCGTACATGGTTCCCTCGAGCCCATCGGCCCACGAGTTGCGCATTGGCTCAGGTGATCGGAATGCAGTTTCCATGTGGTCGTCGTGGTAGCTCCCTGGGTCCTGTCGGTCGTGGTGCTGAGTTCGACTGCGTGGGCGCTCCTCGGTGCGGCTGGATGATTGAGAGCCGCGACCGTTTTCCGAGTATTCGTCTTCAGACTCCATTCCCATTTCGAGACTCCAGGCCATGTCAGATTCTCCTTCCTTGCGACGAAGATGGGCCTCCTTGGCTGCACGGCGTTGCTGGCGGGCAATCTTTTGGTGAGCTACGCGGATAATGTTTTCATCTTCCCGAGCGGCACTGTCATTGTCAAAGACACCCTGAGACTCTCGCTTGAAGCGACGCCATTCCACGAGGCATATTTCCTTGGCACCTTCCGTCCGCCACTTGACCTCGCCCAGCTCCACGTGCTCAAGTACAATGTAGACCTTCTTCTTAGCCGGGTCGTCGATGACTTCAAGCAAGCTAACAATGTTGGGATGCCGGGCCTTTTTCAGAATGGCTATCTCGCGCTTGATCTTGTCCTCGTGGCTGTTGTTCTTGCCCAAGCGTCTGCGCTTAGAATAGCGATCGACGATCTTGATTGCGACGTACCGTCCGTGCACCAGGTCCTTGCCCAGCTTGACCTTGCCGTGAACGCCGCGGCCGAGTTCATCTATGATCTCGTATTGGTTTACAATCTTGCGGCCAGAGACTGGATCAGCCTGGACGTCGGCGATGTGAGTCTCCTTGGGGGCTTGTCTGTGCGTGTGGTGCAGCCAAGGGGTTGAGTAGGTTCCATCGTCTGTTGCATCAGTGTCCTGGGACATGCGGCGGTTGGTGGGGTTGAAGAGGCCTGGCGTGCTCACGGGAGAGTTGCCAACCGTACGGGGTGCAGAGTCCATAATGTCCCGGACGTGGTCGTATGTGAGGCCAAAGGCGCCGAGGCTGGACAGCGAGTTGGCAGCAGCGTGTGCGGGGTGGGAGCTGCGGGAGCGCACGATGGGAGGGACATAGGGCTGCGGGTACTTTTGGAGGTGGAGGGCGGCGTAGGACTGGTTGGGATAGACTGGCCCATCCCGTTGGCGCGAGGGGGGAGCGAAGGGATAGATGGGGTCTACCGAATTTGCGCGGACTGTGGTGTTGCTGGCGGTGGATACCGACGAGATGTCTCGCAGAAAGGCAGGGCGGTCTGCGTGTTGGGGTGCGGGCGAGGGGGCCGTCTCGTCGACACTGGCCAGGGAGGCGTGCGAGGCATGAGTGCTTGTGCTGGGCGAGGGGTTGGACGAAGCGGGTGTGGAGTGGGAGATGGGCGACGAGTAGATGCGGAGGGGTTGTGGGGAGAAGTAGGACGGTTCAGGGTCGAGGGAGTGGGAGTGGGAGTGGAGGGCTGCGTTGAGGGCGTCTGGTACGGAGGGCACTTCGGAGCGAGGGGTGCAGTCGTTCTCGTCGACGTCGAGGGCGTGAGAGCGGTCTCTGGGGCGACGACCTGGGGTCTCGGGGCCCTGGTGGTCTGGCGATGGTGGTTTGGAGTGGGAAGTGTGGTCGTCGTGTTGGGAGGGCGGGCGCGTATCGTTGGAGGTCGAGTCGCACATGGGTGACTCTGGCGGGACTTTGTCGCAGGCGTGGAGCGGGTCCCCATGGGCTGTCAAAGCCGCATTTGGGTCTCGCATGGCGACTGCTACTCAATGGGTGCAGATTATGGCAGCAGTGCAACCATGTCAGCACTTTTTTACGCTTTGTCGAGGCGGAGGTCGTGGGCGGATAGTGGCATTTCGCGGGGGGGCTGCGCAGCTGGGAGGGTCAGAGGCAGGGCAGCAGCTGTGTGGCGTGGTAGAGCCGGGGAAGCAGAGAGGGTCCGTGTGGTTTGAGGGGGAGCAGGCAGGTGGTGAGAAGGGGTGGATAGGGTGGATATGGGTTTAGTTGAGAGGCAGAAGACTGGCTCCGTTGGGCTTTCCGAATGGGGAAGTGATGGTCGCTGGTATTTCGGGGCCCATGGATGACGCTCAGAGGGCGGGAGAGACAGGCCGGGGGGCGTGCACTGGCGACACTTGTGGGGACACTATCGCGCAAAGGATAGGCGATGCCGGACAGGCTAGGGCACGACGACGAGGGCGAGGGCGAGGGCGAGTGGGCGCCAGTGCGCGAGTGGGTGGGAGATGGGTGGATGGGATGGGTGAATGGACGACGATCGTGGTGTATGTACGTATACATGGCCAGGCCCAGCTCGCCCCAGGTCCAGCTTCAGCTACTTGAGCAGCTTTGTTGAGGCCAGGGCTGCTGCGATACGGGCCGCCATTGATTTGTCTTGCTTTGCACTTGCACCTTCTACTACACACTAATACTACTCTCTCATCCACACCCACACCCACACGCGCACCCACACGCGCACCCATGCCCTCGCGCCCTCACTCACTCACTCACTCACACACACACACACACACACACACACCCATAATGGAGCAACACAGGCTGCGCCCGGGCAGGCCATCACGTACATGGCGCTAGGATGCAGGTGACGCCAACGGGTATGGGCAGTGCAGTGATGGTGCATGGGCCGAGGCGTTCACTGGCTCATCCAGGCCTGTCCTCAACAAGCCTTGGCCGGCCATGGTGCTGAGGGGCGGGGTTCGGCATCGACGGTTGCTGCATCAGGCCGCATTAGACGATGAAGCGCGATAAGAGCCACAACCACGAGCCCGACTCTCCAGCAGCACACGCCCTTCCCCAGATTTACCCTCGTCGCCGCACCAGGCACTGTGTCGCCCTCGCTGCCACGACGCCTGCAATGCATCGACAACTTGTTTGCTTCTTCGCTCCCGCTACCTCCCTGCCTCGAATTGTCGGCTCCCCTGCCATTGGCCCACCCCTCCTCCTCGTCCTCTTCCTCAGTACCCACCAGCGCCCCCCCCCCCTCCTTCACCCGCATCTTATCTACGACATACTATACATATGTACTTACATACATACCTACTGCCTACATACATGCACATGTACATACGCACACACACACACACACCAAACACTATCTTGCCCTACAATACCCGCCTTGTCCCATCCCTCCCCTGTACTTTCTCTACGCGTAGAATTTGCAATAGAACCGCCGTCCTCGTCCGGTGTCGCCTTGACTAGTCCCCGTCCCCATCCCCATCCCCACTGCCCATCTCGCCTCCGCTTGCTTCGTGTCCACTTCAATGTCTCCCTTACGCAACCTCTTGCTGCATGCAGTGCCATTTTCCAGACCGCCTGCAGACCAAAAAATCCCAAAAATCATCCAATATGGTCACCTGGTGCCAACCCTCACCGTCACGGGCCTCTGACTGAGCACAGTGGCCCTGTAGTGCATGCTGCGAGGGAAAAAAAAAGGACCCGGCCAGATGAAGGCCAGTCTAGGCGCCGCCCGCCTCCTCAGCAATCATCGTGAAAGTCCTAATCCGGTAAGGCTCTCACCCTCAATTTTCTGCACTCGACACCACAACCACCCAATCCATGACAAGTCCCGCCGGCGTGTGCATTGCGCCAAGCTGCGCTAGTCGGCCGGCATCACATCGCTCTCTCTGCCGGCCACCTCACCCTCCCTTCAGTTCGCCTACCTTCGCTTCGCGCTTGTGCTCGACCCTTCTGATTGCCCAATGCCCTCCAACGCCGACTCCGCAGGCGACACGAATCCGAGCGGGACTGGTGCTCCACCACGGAATCTTCCTACCAGCTATCGTGACTCGGCGCCACCTATTCTGCCTCTGCTGCTTGCCTTCCGCCTCACAAACGCTTTGGCCTTGCACACCTTTTTCCAGCCAGATGAGTTCTTTCAGTCTCAAGAGCCTGCCTGGCAGCTTGCCTTTGGCGACGCTAGTAATGCCTGGATCACTTGGGTAAACTTCCACCCCCCTTCTTCCTTCCACCCTCACCACCACCACCACAACCCCCACGACCACTTTCCGCACATACATTATATATATACACTTTGCACATACTCGGCTGCAGTCTCACCATAAAACGCAGGAGTGGACAAGCCGCTTGCGCTCTTCCCTGCACCCAGCGCTATTTGCAGCCGTCTATCGTGTCGCGGCACATGTCGCTCAAGCCAGTGGATTGAGCTTACCAGCTAAAGCCGAGATCCTCCTAGCGGCGCCGAAAGTTACCCAGGCCGTCTCCGCAGCCTTGCTCGACTGCTACACATGGAAACTCGCCGGAAAAGTTTACGGTCGTGGCAGCCGTACTGCCCTTGCTGCTGTACGCCAATGCTCCTGCAATCTCCAAGCCCCCAAACTGCTCTTTGCCCTTTTCTAACATATTCTTGTTGCTCCCCGTCTTAGCTTGCATTGTCTGTCTGCAGCCCCTGGCAATGGTTCTGCGCTACCCGGACCCTGTCCAATTGCCTCGAGACTACCATTACCTCCATTGCCATCTACCACTGGCCTTGGCAGGGTACAACGGACACCAGGCAAGTGGATCCTAGTGCTAAAGCCCAGCAGCATTCACATCCCCATCTCGGCTCCCTCTCTCAGTAAGTCGTGGCATTAAGAAGATCCCCTTCTGGGCGCACACTCGTCCCCCCTCTTTAGTTGGGCGTTGGGCTCATGCTCATGCAGGTTGCGTCTGTCCTTACTACTGGCTGCGGTTGCATGCATTCTCCGGCCCACCAATGCTCTCATCTGGATATCTGTAGCTCTTCCAACGCTATGGCAAGCTTCTCAGACGTTGCGGTATGTGCTGGTCCGCGAAACCTTGCTCTGTGGGTACGTTCTTGTCCTCCCTACATCCGCGGCACCATCTCTTCGCCCTTGTAGTAGTACAAGGTCTTTGTTCGTGACAGGCCATGCACACATGTTCTCCGTCCGTTTCTCTCCCCACATGCTATTACGCGTGTGAAGGAAAAAAAGACAAGTCAGCAGATCAAACATGGAAACTGACGGTACAAAGCTGCGTTGTCTTACTTGCCTCACTCGCATCCGACCGCCTGTATTACGGGGTCTGGACCATTCCGTCTCTCCGGTTCCTCTACTTTAATATTGCCCAATCTCTAGCCGTTTTTTACGGCAAGAATCGTGCTGACTACTATTTCACCGAGGGTTTGCCGTTGCTGCTGACCACGGCACTCCCATTTGCCATAGTCGGCTTATGGCAATCACTGCAGCCTCAAAACCAAGACACGACTGTAGGTCGTCGTATACTAACCCGTTTATCATGGACAACCATGATTATGACCGTGACGCTAAGTCTAATCTCGCACAAGGAAGTCCGCTTCCTGTACCCCGTCCTGCCCTTTCTCCACGTCATATCCGCGCAGCCGCTGACCCAGTTTCTACCGGCACACACTGCAGCACCATGGCGACGAGGCGCCATCCTCCTGCTTCTTGCAGCAAACATACTTCTAGCCGGTTACGCGTCGCAGGTCCATCAACGTGGCGTCATCGACGTAGTCGGCTACATCCGCCATAAACATGAAACGCGCAATACGCTATCATCCATGTCTTCTTCCCACCACCACCAGGGCTCCCGCACCAACACCATCACCAACACCACCGTCGCCTTCCTCATGCCCTGCCATTCCACGCCATGGCGCTCCCACCTCGTCTACCCTGAAATCTCCGCTTGGGCCCTGACCTGCGAACCCCCTATCCACGTTCCCCTCGCAGACCGCTCCGCCTACCTCGACGAGGCAGACGAGTTCTACATCCGTCCTGGCCCTGCCGCCTGGCTCAAAGCCAACATGGAAGATGTTGAGACGGTGAGGGATGCAGGGAGCAGATCGGGTCAGCATTGGATGCGCCAGGATCCAAAGTTTAAACGCAAGTATCGCCGCGAGTGGCCGCAGAATCTTGTCTTTTTTGAACAGCTGGAGGGTGTTTTAAAAGAACACTTAGCTGGTTCGAGGTACCGAGAGTGTTGGAGGGGATTCAATTCGCATTTTCATGATGATTGGAGGAGAGTGGGGGATGTGGTTGTTTGGTGTTTGGATGGGTGATGTGGAGGATTTTTTTAGTATATTGCAATATAGAATATTGAAGAGATGTAGGATAGTTGATATGTCCCATGTTACAATACGAATAGCTTTTTGGAATCTCTCTGTATCACTCTAGTTTAAACAGTGTATGCTAATCTTTTTTATCGACTTCATTCAGAAAAGAGAAGAAATGATTTAATCGATTAGAGGCCGTAAGCAAAAACAAAAAAAGGAACAAACGCTCCTTCCAGAGCAACATCTAGAAAAGAGCCTTGGACGCTACACTAAGCAACCAGGCAGCATCCTGCCACCCACCGGCCTCATCATTCACGCGCCTCATCTGATCATCACTAGCTTCTCCCGCCGTACTCGGTCGACTTCCCGTCTCCCCCTCGCCATGGTGACTCTTAACCGCAGCGGCCGCAATAATCGCCTCACGCTCCATTTTCCTGCGCTTGGCCTCGACCTCGCGCCTGAGCTTAAGTTCCTCCTTTGTCAAATCATCCAACTTCAACTCCTTACCACTCATTCCCTTACCCTCACGCGCGTCATCCTCCTCCTCTTCTTCTTCTTCTTCATCATCCTCGTCCGACCCCTCTCTATCCTCATCGACTGCAAACAACGACCACCCAATCAAGCGATCCATCCAGCCTCCGAGGCCAAACCCGCGTTCGCGTGCTAACCGCGCGACCTCTTCTTCGTCGCCGTCAGAGTCCTCGTCGGCTTCGATGAAATCGGGCTCAATGAAGCGTTCTTCGGGTTCAGACACCGTTTTGATGCCCAGACCCGTCATGAGGTCTACGCGGCTGCCTACTCTGCTGCCGCGACGACTGGGACGCGCGCTGGGGACGCGTGATCCAATGCGGCTGGGGAACCTGCTGCCGGCGCGCGACATGCGGGGGGAGAAGAAGGACGGGTAGTCTGCTTCATTGACGTGTTCGCCAGATAGAAGAACCATGTGGTTGTTGTGGTTGTTGTCGTGAGGGGCATCGGGGTTGTATTCATTGTCTTGGCCTACGAGGCTTGTAGAGCTTTCACGGCGGACAAGCCAGCTTTGGCCTTTGCTATCTCTTGTTTCGCCGGCGATGGCGAGGCCCGCGCGGTGGAGCCATTCATGGTTTGATTCTTTGGTGTGGTGTTTGATGGGGGGTGAGAAGAGAGGGAGAGGCGCGGTGCCTTTTCTTGTGTGATGCCGCGGCTTGCTGGCTTCCGTCACGCTCGCGACTTCATCTGTGAAGCTAACTCCAGGATGCAATACGCTTGTGCTCTTGGCTTTTGGTATATCGCCAGCTGCTCGGATCTCAGAATTGGTGTCGACGAAGTAGCTGTCATATGCGTAGGCCTTTCTGGTATGCTGTCTCGAGCTGCTTCGGGTTTGACTGAGGCTCAACACGCCTGGTGTGGCTGGAGCAGACTTCTGGGCTATGTAGGATGTGCGAGGTGTCTGGGTTCCCGGCTCGTCGGGTGATGGTGGAACAGATGCATCGAGTGGGTATTTGGCGCTGAGCGGGGCTATGGAGAGATTGTGGAGGTTCGGGTAAGATCGGCGCGATCGCGAGGTTGAGCGCGGGGGTTCCATGATATTCGAGGATCAGAGGGCGCAGTTACGACGTCGACTATCCATATATCCCACAGGACGCCAAATTGTGTGCCGTGATGATGGAGTGACCGAGGTTCGACACTGGCGCGCACAGACTCTGGGGATGGGAGATTTAGTTCGTTTGCGGTCTAGCGGGCGATCGATGAGATTTTGCACGTGAAAGCGCAGAAGGAGAAAACGACGCCAAAGCAACACGCGAAGGCGATGTCGAGGCAAAGCCGCCGAAGGTGATGATCGACATGCACGACCAGGTGGCTAGCTAGAGTATACAGGCCCATAGTCGTCGCAGCACTTGCCTCGCATACTCTACAAGCTCGTATAGATCTACGTACTCGGGAGCCATGCACCAGGCCTGGAAATACGACGGCCCTTTGGCGAGATCTTACTACCATAGATGCAATAAAGTTGTAGCATGTAAATGTCCAGAGAGGCAAAGTTATGATGTTGCGGCGGCCGGCAGTTGGTGTTGGCAGTGAAGGTTCGATACGCTTCGAGTAATATTAGGCGGCTGCTGTGTGCCGATAGACCCACCATCGTGGAGGGAAAGTAGACCTACGCATACGCTTAAGCATACCAACACGCCACTACCCACTGATCCATGTGGTCTTTGTGGAGCGATGACGGAGCCAACGGCGATAGGAAAAGTATCAGACATGGCTTGGGCCCGAGGCCGAGACGGTGTTGAGACGCGCCGCCCAAGTCCGAGCTATGCGGCGGAGCAGCAACCTTGGAACGGGAGCGTAACCAGACTGCCAAGGGCCTGTCTTTGGACTAGCCAGCCTTCCAGGCCTCGGGTGGAGGGCCCTGGGACGTGAGGCGTTGGCTTTGGCACACAGGGCTTGCGGGGGGGCGTAATAATCCATACACAAGACATTTGGCAGTGGTACATACGTTGTCATGATATGACTGTGCAATTATTCACCATCCGCAGTGTTCCTGCTTACCGCCCATCGCCAATCACACTGGCAAACAAGAAAAAAAAGAGCGTCCAGTGACGTACATATCGCCTTTGCCAGGCCTGGTGGACCCTTAATAATATTCCGCGTTCAGACAAGCGGACCAAATCCGCTTGCTCTTACTCGAACCGTTCAAGGCGCACTAGAAGCACCCGAGACTTTCCACAACACCAAACCCACGCCCATTATAATCACACTACTTTTCCACGGCCCCGTGAACGACGGCTGACGTCCTTGTCGCTACCGCCTCCCCAGGCATCAGTGCACAAATATCCCCCTCCCCCCTCCGTGCACGCCCCCCTACCACCTTGTCCTACCTTCTAATTGCAATACCTGCTCGCCATGAACTTCGCCGCCGCCTCGCATCCCCGCAAGACGCCGTCAACATGTGTCCTGTAACAGGCCCATAACCGCGAAGTAAGTCACCCTGTCGTCCACTGCATTTGAATCAAATGCCCTTGACTTCGCCCCCCAACACCACCAAACCTTGGTTCGCACCATCCGCAACCATAGATCTGCATCTCGACACCTCCCGAAACACCATTTCCCACAGTAACTAACGCGTCTAAAAAGGCTGTCCGCGCTGGCTTCTGTCCCCATACTCTACCGATACTATCTCCAGTAACTCTTCGCGCAAACAAACGCACTATTCTCACACTACGCCCGCCGCTAGCGACCTGCCCATATACTAGAAACGCAGCATTGTGAGCGCGCCGAGGCACAAGCTGAGCTTGTCGCTAAAAGCTCGACGCCGTCCCATTATCCCCAGAAGACCACCAACCCCATACTACCCCATAATGTCCATATCAGATGGAGATAGCTCGGCCCCGGCCCTTAGCCTTCGCCACTATCGCGACCAGAACGACGAGGAAAATGTCTACGACAGGATCAGGGAGTTTGTCCGCTCCCTGGGTCTCTCTGCGAGCGACGGGCTCATCCACCATGCTACCGAGAATACACATGAGGACCTGAAAGATGTCTTAAACCCACACGATCACGAATGCTCCTCGAATTGCACTGCAGACTCGCACGGCACCATCACCCCGACCCTCTCCATCCATTCATCCCCTGAGCGCCTACAACCCCTGATCCCCCCCACAAATTACGGTGCGGTTCTGCCCGGGTGCATCTACCGCAGTGGATACCCACAGGAGAAGAATTACGGCTTCATCAAGGACGTTGGTATCAAGACAATCTTGACTCTCGTGCCGGAGCCCCTCACGCCTGAGTTCCAGGCCTTCATGAAAGATGCTGGCATACAGCACTTCCACGCCCATATACGCGCCAATAAGGGCGAAGTTCGCGTCGAGTCGTGCGAAATGGCACGGGCTCTCCGTCTCATCATGGATCGCTCAAACCATCCCATCCTCGTACATTGCAACAAGGGAAAGCACCGCACTGGATGCACCATCGCTTGCTTCCGGAGGGTGCTGGGCCTCGACCCTGACGTCATCCGCGAGGAGTACCACACCTACGCCGGCATCAAGGCCCGCTTTCTCGACGAGGTCTTTTTCGAGAACTTTGACATCAACCTCGTCATGTGGGTCGCGCGCCAACAAGGCTGGGTCACGCCTGAGATGGATATTGCACCGCCCACGCCACCAGCCTCCATCACATCCAGCGTCACCGTCAAGGCTGTCGCTCTCGCATGACGACACATATCCTGTACTACATCACACACTTTATCTCTCGCATATTTTGGCGTTTAACAAGGGGTCCCGTGGAATCAAGGTCGAAGACCATTCCCACTAAAATGATTTGTCTTTTTTGGTCACTTTTCAGGATCCGGCGTAACGGGGGGAGTCAATCAAGGCGATACCATTCAAACCAATGCATTGGGGTTTGTACTAGGGGTGAAGGGGGTTCCGGCGTTTTGGGTCTTTTCCAAGCAACATTGGAACTCCACTTCTTTTTTCTTTTCTTCTCTCTTTCTTTTGGACTGTTGCATCATACTACACTTGAGTAGTAAAAATACAACAGCTTTCATATTTTAACCCTTTTTGACCTATTTGGCTCACCACCTGTTCATCACATGTTATACAACATGAGATGAAAATCATCCCCTTATACTGTAGTAATCTTCTTTTTGTACTTATTTTCCTTTGTTGGTTTCCTATGTGTCAGTAGGAACATTGTCATGCTCGGGCTTAATATTTCTAGGATCACCCCTCCCCACCCCCCCAAATCGAAACTCAAAACATACGCGGTACGGTTTTAGTACAGTGCGGCAGATAAAGAACTGTGTCTCGAATACACACAAAGAAAAAAAGAATTTAGATTTTGGTTTACGTTGGTCGCAATTGCCGACTTGCCTCCCCTCGTTACTCCGTCCTCACGCGCGCGTTTGTATTTGTGTATGTGCATTTGTTTACGTGTTTTGGTGAATATGCTTTTTTTTGGGCAGACGAGGCCCTGCAGTGATGATCTCGGGTCTCCACCGACGTTACTGACGGTAAATTCGTCTTTTCTTTTTTAACCTTGAGACTATCTACATGACCCATTACCATGATTCTGGTGATGCAAGAATAAAGTCCCTGCAGGTTTCTTTTTAGTGGATTTCCCTGTCGATCCGGCTTTGGATGTGTGGGTGTCCTAAGGAAGAGGACCCTGGAAAGGGGAAGAAGGGGTCATGCAGGGCGCTGTTTTCTTTTGCTTTTTTTGGGGAGGCGATGAGGTCATGGGCGGTGATGACCGATTGGTGGGGCGGATGGTTCGGCTGGTAAAAAGGCAACAACGGTGGTGGGAAGATGGGTTTGGTTGTTGGATTGAAGGAATGGCAAGGGTGTGTGTGTTCAACGGGGTGTTGTGGCGGATTCGGTATGACGTATGAAAAGTGGTATTATCTCATTATTATTATTCCATATGTCCGAACCCGATTTCCAAGTTTCCCGAACTTTTTTCTACATTGTGAATTTCAATTCCGTACCGACTGCTGCGCCATTGTCGTCAGACATACTCGGTGGTCTGTCTTCCTTGTTCGTGCCCCATTTACTTTCTTTGTCCCCCAGTATTAACTCCAACGTCCCTCCGTTTGTGAAAAACTCGTGTCCAATCCAATTCTTAGTATACTCCTTGCCATCTAGCTTCGCACTTTGAATGTAGATATTCTTGTACTGCGCATCGAAATTGACGGTGCGGATGGTGGCAGTCGCGTTAGTCAACTTGTTGGTTACAGAGACTGAGGGGAAGAATGGAGAAGTGATGAAATATATGTTTTGACCGGGGTTAGGGAAGAGACCCAGCATGTGGAAGAGCGTGAAGCTAGCCATAGAGCCGCTGTCGTCGTTACCTGGGAGGCCGCCGGGGGAGGTGTTGAATCGAGATGGGATATCTAGACCCAAAGCGTTAGTAAGATACAGCACTTGTGCGAAGAAAAGAAGCCATACAATAATGCGCCCGCTCAGCCGACAACGCCGGCCTCCCCGCATAATGCGGCAAAGAAACCGTCAAGAAAACCGGCTCATTCCCTATATCTGCCAAACCTGATGTATGGAAGAAATTCAAACGACTGATAAACTTTTCGTCGCCGCCCACCAACTCAATCACCTGACCGATATCATGTGGCACAAAAAACAAGTACTCCCAAAGACTGCTTTCGAATGTCTCAGCCGCGTTGCTCGTTAGAGAGCAGAAACCCGTTAGCGGACTACATGCAATGGGGTCCTGGAATCCGAATGTGCCGTTGAGATATCTGGGCTGGAAGTAGCCTACGAAACCAGTGTCTGTGCCGTTGACAGAAGATTTTTGGTCAGCTTTGAAGAGGTTCTTCCAGTTTGTAGCACGGGAAAAATATTTCGGTGCCGTGTCTTTGCCTAGGCTGCGGGCGAGGACGGCGAGGTTGTAGTCATTGTAGGCGTATTCGAGGGTGCGGGATACGCTGCGTGAGTTTGTGCCGAAGCCGACAGGGTCGAAGTCGAGGGCTGGGATGTAGTTGAGTCTTTTCCAGCTGGTCAAGCCGCCGCGGCCTTGGAAGCTCCATTCTAGAGGCTCGTTTTCGGCGTCGTTGACGATGGCTTCGTAGGCGAGCTCCCAGTCTATGCCAGTGGTGACGTTCTTAACGTAGGCATCTACAAGGACATTGTCTGCGTTGGAGCCACCTTGTGTCCAGCCGCTGCAGGTACTCATCATACAGTCTGGAAGCCAGCCACGATGCTTGTACGTGTCCAATAGACTTCTGATGAAGACTGAGATCATTCCTGGATCAAGAACCGAAAGAAAAGGGAGTTGGGCTCGCCAGAGGTCCCAAATGCAGTAGAAGGAGTCGTAGTATGGCTCGGTACTTTGCCAACGCGGGTTCTCGCCTGTGTAGTTCTGGGGAGATATCATTGTCCGGTATGCCGCACTCCAGAAGTTTACCAGAAAGCTTTGGTCCACGTCTCCCGCTTCTATCGAGATCGGAGACAGTTTCTCACGCCATGTGTCTTCGGCTGATTTGATTAACCGATCAAAGTCGTTGTCAGGGTTGGGTATCTCGCGCTCAGCATTCTGGCATGCCTGGTCAGTGCTAATGAAGCTCAATCCCATCCGCGCAAGCAAGGGGCCCGAAAGCGGTCCCTTGAAGCGTACAAAACCTCCAGCCTCGAGATAAAAGTAGTTGAAGCCGCGCGTGACGAAAAGCTGTTTTGGTTCTGTACCAGCTCGACTGTTGACCCAAACTCCAGAATCCCGTACCATTGCCCCAGACAGATCCAGACAAAAGTAAGACTTGTACGTTGATGCTCCGAAGCTGGGAATAAAAGTTCCGTTTCCCTTTATTCTTCCGTTTTCAGCACCCTCGGTTGCCTCGACACTGATTGAAGCGTTTTGCCGGCTCGCCGAAAGATCAGTTAAGTCGAGGAGGATCAGGGGGTTTGAGCTCGAATTACCAGTGGACGCCTTAGAGAAGTCGAATCGAAAAAGAGCGGTATGCTCCGAAACAGTCATGTCGGCAAATATGCCATTCTCTAGCGACAATCCAAAGTAGCCTGGTCGTGCTTTGACCGAGTCGCCTTTATAGTGAGTCGCACGTGCAGCAATTTGATATTTGCAATCGTTAATGTCGTCTCCAGAGCAGAGCTGTGGGAAAATGGGGAAGTTTCCCAAACTCGGAAAGCCTCCAGTCCCAGAATCGTGGAGGGCAGAGAAGCCGGTTACGTTGCTTCCATCAGTAGAGAAGCCTCCCGTGTTTGCCCCATCAACGTCCGCAACGGCTGTTTTATTATGAGCTTCTCGTACTTGTTGCAGCTGTAAATATACTATACCTTTAGCCATGCCATATGGCAGAGTCGCACCAGAGAAGACATTGCCTCCATCCCGAGAACCTATCAATGGGTCGATGAATTTCAACACATCAGTGCCATTAGTTTGTCGACGGTGTACCCTCGCCGTCGACAGTGAGATAATTTGGATTAAGATCGAAAAGTAGGTGTTAATACGCATGATGGGCGCCTTGTAAATGCTGCAGTTATGCTAGCTCAGCTCTTTGATGTCACTTAAGAGAGAGCGTCTTCGCCCCTAAAGACGTGATATTGGATTGAACTTGGTCAAAAGTAAAACTTAAAGTGGCATGAGACTTATTCAGCGGAAGTACCGGAAGAGTCTTTTACTGTATCCTGGTTCTAATCAATAGCCTAGGAAATTGCACTCAACAGCGACGTCACTTTGGTTGGTGGTTGATGCCCGCTTTGACGGCGGGGTAAAGTTACCGACAGACTGGAAATGCAACCTCAACTACATAGAAAACCTAGTAGACAACATTAATACTACTCAACTACTATGTACCGTGAATTTTGCCTTCAGGGTGAGGCTGCAAGCTTACGTACTATGCCCAGCCCTACGACCGATCCCGTGGTGTCCCGCTCCGTACGCCGCTGGCCTAGAGAATGCCCAGCATTGCTTGGGTACTACCCCACAACCGATTGCTTATGTCATTGTATAAAACCTGACAAAATCACCATAGTCTATGCAGTCATTTACTTTATTGATGGGAATATTACAGAGGCCCCTGTGAGTGTCTATCCCATAGCCATTTTCCTAAATAGGCACGAACCGGTGATTGAGAGGAGGGGTTGTCCCGAGATGCCGTGCACAAGACCTACTATCCAATGAACGACAATACCTCATCTTAAAGAAAGGCCAGTAAGTGCTGCAAGATGGAGCCCTCGTGCAAGGCCTATGGATGGGCCACGGGCCACGGGCCACCGATGCAAGTCACGTTTTGTCGGGTACGGCACCCGATTCACTGGGGACTCCTGAGAAAATTAGCCGTGCCCAAGCTTCACAGGGAGTGACGACACGGATGTGGATTGGAGCTGAACCTGTTTTCAAGTACTTTGTAGGCGAATCTTTAATTTCTCCTAGAAGCAAAGACTTCGGGCTAAGAGCGCGAGAGAAGAATAGCTTGAGCCATATTTAGTGTACTACCTCGCGCTCCAAATTCCTGGCACACGTCATCTGTAGCGTCTTGTACTGTCTGTCTTGACTTTCCTTGGCTGCAAAGGCGGAGTGAGCTTGTGGAGTTTGCCATCCACTAAAGATGATAGCCTCGTGGTGGTTTAGCGCAGCATCACATCGCCAGCCGTGTGCTAATTTAAACGGAAGGCTACCTTGAAGCTGCTGCGCATGCCTCTGGACTGCCTCGTCGAAACCCCGAGTGGATTCTTCTGAGACACTAATTCTTTCCATTGCTAAAATAGGTGCATCCAGTGGAAACAAGTTCACACCGCTAAGTTCCACATGAACTGTCCAACAAAACTGCAGCATCTTTTCTTGGGGGCCGAGAATCTGGTCTTTGGAAGGCGAGGCAAGGAAGTCCATATGAGCATCGAGACTTGGCCATGTGCCTAAAATATAGATCAAGCTGGGATCGTCGATGCAGTTGTAGAAGTGGGAGCCGGTCTGCAGTTCGGCTCGGACAGTTGACAGGCTCTCAAGCAGTGCCGGGTCATCGGCTGAGAGCTCTTTTAGACGGAGCTGGGTGACCTCGAGGACGGGCATGGTGTACCGTGGGATTGGGAACGATGCAATCCTGCGTCACAGACCGATATAGTAGCAGAGAGCGGGAGCACGTGCAGGGTGGTGGGTGGATAGAGGAGGAGGAGGAGGAGACCAATGGCGGGGAGCAGGGTCCAATTCACAGCGGCTGGACGGCTGGACACTTCGCTGGCTACGTTAGCGGCTTGGCAGACCACTCCCACGGCTGCTGCTGCGTTCAGCTCACCTCCTGTTTTGGCATCTCCGTTGCTTGGACACCACCTGTGCCTGATGAAGCCTAAAGCCTGCATGCGGGGACTACAAGGTTACGCGAGATTTTCGACGGTTGGCCAATAACAACATGCACTCTGGTTCCACACAAATGCTTCGCATGTCCTACCAAATCCATTCTCTTCACTTCCACGCCATTCACAGTACATCGGAAAGCCTCTTGGATCAACCGCATGCAGCTCTAACTATAATTAAGCCCTCGAGACGTACAATTCTACCTGGAGACTCAAGACGATACTAATTCAAGTCTCACGCGCTGTCCAAGATAGTCTGGAGGCGCGGCCAGACTGGCCCAGTGGCAGATCAACCTATCGGCGACGTCCCTCATCTTGGCGAGGCTTGCCCTCATCTCGTGATGCAGGAATAGTCTGGTCAACAGCGGCAGGCAGCAGGAACTGTGTGAAGCCGTTATCTCCCGCCATGGCGACGCCATCGCAACGGGCCCGGCGTGTGCACCGGCCCGTCATGAGCGAGACACGTCGCGATGGAGTCCACTGAAGAGCATGTTTCATCGCAAAGTCTGCCTAGAACGATCACAAGGCATACATGCCTAGAGAAATGATGCACCAAGGGGACACAGCCCTCGAGGCCATCGACAGCCATCTAACGGTTATGGCTGCATACCGGTGAGCCGACTAGTAACTGAACTCCCACTTGCTAGACCTATTCTACCGCTGTCATAGTTACAATACTATCCAAGCTTCTCATTCTATTTGTCCGACACGTCAGTTTTACGGTACAGGCCTGTGAGTCAGCCAGGGTTCAGCCGTACACCTGGCATCCCCTGATTAATGTGCATCAACCACACCCGCGGGGTCGGTCGCTTCGCGCTCCCTGTCTAAGCCCCCAAATTTTGTGCTCCCATGTCAGGGCCATTGCTTGTCGTGGATGGACAGAGTATATATCCGCACATGGGAAGCAGCACCCGCGGCCGCGGCTACGGAATCCTTCTTCTTGCCTTCACTGCTCATGTCGTCTCCACAAGATCGCGGTAGTGTACTGGACAGTTCTTCAAGCGACTCGCCAACGTTGTCGGACTGTCGAAATGAGAGTATAGCACCGCTGCCCCGCAGGCCCATTCCAAGGAAGGGCCATACTAAATCACGCCGTGGGTGCTACAGTTGTAAACGACGACGTATAAAGTGCAACGAGAGACATCCCGAGTGCAGTCACTGCCTCAAAGCTGGGCTACAGTGCGAGTATCCTGCCAACATCATTCAAGCAACTCAGCGGTCCCACGCTATCTCAGGTCCACGGGAGGCAGGCGGCTTCCGGTCCGCTCCAGGAGTATTCGTGAGCACTTTCCTAAACCTAGAGTTAGTTTGCAAGTACCTGACAACTACAGTCGATGGGAGATATGCGATTGTTTCACCATTTCCTCATCACTGCATACCCGCATCTACCTGTGGGGCAAGACAAGATATGGGTTACTGTAATTCCCAGCTTTGCACACAACGTAGGTTATCTCTCACAAGGTTTCGAAAGAAGAATATCCTCCAAGCCGATATATTGTCAGACTCCAGGCTTGCAGGCTGATTCTCGCAGTATGAGTATCTCATCCATTCGATTCTGGCCCTATCTGCATCCCATCTAGATGCCGTAACAAGCTCTGGTGTTGCTGAGCAGGCTATACAACACCGAATTCTAGCAGTGAAGTCGCTCAATGAAGCGTTATCAGTACCCCCAAAGACGCGATGTGAGCGAGATGCTAGAATGGCGGCTGCTTTGGCTCTTGCGTTTCAGTCAACCCATCTGCAAGACGGCATGGCAGAGTTCCTCACCATGGTGCGTGGTTGCAATCTGATTGCAGGAGACGAAATGTCGCTAAATGAGGATTCGGTTTTCCACGTACGTAGTACTTGCTCCAATCAAAGCTGCAGCCTCATCCTAACGCAAGCTAGGTATTCCGCGAAGACAGTCACCTCCAGACAATACGCAACCGCATTGACACCTCGTCAATGAACTGCGTCAACCAAGGAGATCTCGGCCTAGCCTCCGTATCCCTCAGCTCAATCGAGTCCCTCCACATGTCCGACTGCGAACGATCATATTGGGAGCACCTCGCCAGTGTAGTAAACCACGCATACGAGAGACCGATCGACGCATACACCGCCTTTGTTACACTATACAACATTCCATCGCGGTGGACACACGAACAGTTCCAAGCCTTCATCGACCCCAACAACAACGTCGCGCAGATCTTGCTCGCCCACTTCATCGCTATCCAAGCCATCCTCACACCCATCCTCTATCTCGAGCGGGTGGGCTTCCAAGGTGTCAACGCCCCCACCGCTGTCTTGAGTTGGATCGAGGGTATATATTGGAACGTCACACACCACCTACGGCATTATGTTGAGTGGCCTAGGCAAGTTTCAAAGTACCCCTTTGAACAATTCATGGGCCAGAAGCAGTCGGATAATCCTGACATAGACCCGACTTTGCCATGACCGAGTCAGAGATAAGATTATACTAACGAAGCGCTATGAGTTTCTTTCCTTCTTCTTTTCCTTTTCTGTTAGCCCTGGATCAGCATAACCTGCAATGATATCTCGTGTACATATGCTGGATTTGAAGTTTTATCTTGTAACTTTATTGTCTCTTGTAAAGCTCATCGTTAGGCGATAGTGCAATCGTTTTGTCAGGAACTTTCGGGAACTCTACTTTCTTTTGTCATCTATCGTTACATATCCCTACATATCCCGTTGCATGCCGAGTTTTTGTTCTTTGTTTTCTCATATGTTCAATAGTGAGATAGTCAACTTAAAAAACACCTCAAATACCGGGAAAGTAAACTCATAACATATATTGCAATGATCTAATCTTGTTACCGAAGGTAGTGTGAGACTTTTCCGCATCCTGACGTGACTACATAACGAAATGACTAAGCGAAGGTGACCGGAATTTTACAAAGGAAAAGAGGAGAAAAAGCGAATGTCGTGTAGATCCGTATACGTGGAAAGAAAGGAAGAAAAGCGAGTGTCGTATAGAGACTGTATACGGGAAAGATAAAAAAGGGAAGAAAAGAAGAAAGCGAATGTCGTGAAAAAAAATCCCGTATACGTAGAAGAAAAGCCAGAAAGCAAGCGAGTGTCGTGTGTATCCGTATACGAAAAAGAAAGCAGCGAGTGAACGTCGCGTACGACCATGTGTGAGAAGAAAAAAAGAAAGAAGAAGAAGAAGGAGAAGAAGAGAAAAGGGGAAAACCACAAATCACCCTGCCTACCTCCTCCCCATCAAACCCCCATACTAGCCACCCACCTCCTAAACCCCCCCTTCCCCCTCTCTCTCCTCATCTCGACCCTAACCTCATCCCTCAACAACCCCACCCACCTCGCCGGCCCCTTCTCCCTCACAACCCTCTCCTGAGCTTTGACCCAATAATCCTGCTCCATAGCGCGATCCTTGACGCGATCGCAGAGCCACTCGAGCCACTCGCGGCGGTCCCAGCCACAGCGACTACCCCACTTCTGTTTGACGGTGAGCGCGAAGTCGTCGATGTCTTTCTTTGCGCAGCGGGGGCAGAAGGTTTGTTGCGGGTAGAAAGAGGTGCCGGGCAGTGGGGTGCGGTAGAAGGTGTAGAGGTGGTTGGAGTAAGGGGTGTAGTGGGTTTTGCAGGTTGCGCTGATGCAGGGGCGGAGGGTGTAGCGCCAGTCCCATGTTTCGTGATGGCGTTGTTGAGGTTTACTGGTGGGGTTACTGCTACTATTGCTCTTGGTAGTGGCAGTGGGTTGAGATGGGCAGCCCAGTACGCGGCGTTTTTGCATTCGGATGAGTTTGGCGTTGTGGATGCGGCGGTCGTCGCAGAATTCTTCTTTCAGTTCTTCGAATTCCGCGGCGACTGTGCCGAGGGTTTTGCGGCCCGCGTTTTGGCGGAGCATCTCGTAGGCGTGCTTGAGGGTTGCGTTGGCTTCTTCGAGCTCGCGGACTGCATGGCGAGGACAGTGTGCGTGGAGATGAGATAGGAAGTATGGGCCACTGGCGAGGTAAAATGATGGACCTAGGTGTAGTGGCGTGTAGTGTGCCTTGCATGAAGGATATAGACATGGTATGTAGTTTTCAAGTGGGTTGTATTGGCCCAATGGAGCGGTACAGAATGCCGATGCCTGTAAAGTAGCTGGCGCTGATTGAGTAGAAAAACGGGAGGTGTTGTATTTTGAAGACTCGTAAGACACTCCGCGAGGTTTTGGACCAAGGGATGGCGGCTTGTAATGTGCTGGTAGCGGAATTCCCGCCCATCTTGGATCGAGCTCTTGAGAGGCTGTCTGTACAAGCGATTTGTGACTGATTCGTCTCTTGATAGCTTGAATGGACATAGTATGAGAGGCCGGAAGGGAACTCGGACGACTGAAATTAGGTGGTGCAGGTGCTGAGTTGTATTGAGAACCGTTGATCTGCTTGGACAAACTCGCAGTCGGACTTGCGAAAGGGAGGCCATTGTGGAACTGAGGTATCGGAAGTGGACTGGGTATTCTTTTGATTATGGATTCTGGTGCTTGTATAGTCCGTCGCTTCACTGACGGCTTGTATCCCAAATTTGGTACCAGTTGTGGTTCCACGAATCGTACAATGGCTGGTGATGACTTAGAGTGCGACAATGTACGCATCAATTTAGGTGACTTGAGGCTGGGCTTCAGGCTCGACCGGGCAGATTGCGGGGTCAGTAATTCGGGCTGTGGGGTCAACAGTTCTTGTTGTAGAGGTGACAACTGTGGTGGTGTCGTTGACAGCTTAGGTGGTGGTGTCGACGGCTCCGGCGATGATATCGAGGACGAAGATGAAACTGAATCATCATAGTCAAAACTGAGATTTGACTCTGATGAAGCCGGACTCGATGAGTCGCTAGTATTACTGTAGATAAAAGGCATATTAAGAGGTATTAAGCCAGCTGCAGCTAGAAAAGAGGTAATGACTGTTGGGGAGCAGCTTGACGAAGCGCTGGTTGACAGAGCATGGCGGACGGCCTACTTTTGTGTAGTGTTTGATTACTTGGAAAAGAGTGCATAGACATGTCAGTCCTGGGATACGTAGGCTGAGACAGAATCTCCGGGGATGATGCCGGCATATTGCCGAATGGAAGCTTCATTGGCGGGCAACCATGCTGAAACCAAAAAAAAGTGTCTTTTTTTAGGGCCGTTGGAATTAATCGATAAGCGATGGTCGATAGTATTCTAGGGTCTCGAAAAAGGGGGCTTGATAGTAGAGAGCGGTTTTGACTGGCGCGCCAGGAGGTAAAGATTGGAGGAGAGTGCCAATGAGGATAGAGGTAGGGCAGCGTTACCCAGAAACATCTGAATTGGCTGCAATATTTCACATAGAAACAACCAACAGACAGATCCAAGAGGCACAGCGTATGGAGGCGGGAAGGTGTTGCTAGTTTAGTACCGCAAGCCAGCGCCAACAGTCAAGTCAAACTCACCCACAAAAAATCTCCCATGATTACCCCGTCTCACGAAGAGAGTATTGCTTCCGAAATCTCGAAATGGTAGCGATTATGCATTTCAGCTGACCACAAGTACCCGTCGTATAGCTTACGGCATGGCAGAGGCATGAACTTGTCGGAATCCTGCCCGCCAAGCTTGGCCCATCCAGCCATGTGGTGATCGACGTTAGTCGCCTCCCGCATATGCAAGGGATTTTCAAGCGAGGTTGCAAGGGTCGGCTACGCGAGAAAAAAAAGAGATGCGCTTAGATCATGACGTTGTTAGTGTTGTCTTATACAGTCTACCCATATGGGTGTGTGGTCGACCACACTCATGCAACGCGAAAATCAAACTTTTGCAATCGTCGAAAAGGGAAGAGGTATAATGCCATATAGTATTCTGATGCTAAGGGGTTCTTTTTCCTTCGAAAACACAACTTGAAACGTTCTTTGCATAGCAATACCCAAAAAGAAGCAGATTCTTGAAATTGGCCAGAAGAGCGACTATAGCTTGGGTTGTTTCTGCTTGAGCATAGCTTCGGCGACAAGACGTCGTTGTATCTTACCGGTCGCAGTCTTGGGCCTAGAAGAGGGCGATTAGCGCATTTTTCAACTATAAGGGTAACGTCCACATACATGATGTCGGTGAAGAATATCTGCACGATGTTAGAGAATGTTCAGTATAATCTTTAGGGGTGGCATGTTGGTATACCTCTTTTGGGAGTTTGAACTTGGCAACACGATCTGTCAACCATGTCTTCAGCTCTCCGGCAGAGAGTGTTTTGTCCTCTTTGACCACAATTGCTAGGCCGATATCTTGGCCGTACATCTCGTCCTCAACAGCAAAGCTCACAGCCTCAGAGACGGCGGGATGCTGTGCGATGACGTTATCAAGTTCGATTGGGCTAATCTTCTCACCACCCTTGTTGATCAACTCCTTGATTCGGCCAGTGATGATGACATAACCGTCGGCATCTTTCTTGCCTTGATCTCCAGTGCGGAAAAAGCCACCCTTTGTGAAAGATGAAGCATTAGCGGCGGGGTTGTTGAGATACCCCTTGGTAACGTTCTCGCCTCGGATGCAGATTTCTGCTTCTTTGCCCTGAGGCACCTCGTTACCGGCATCGTCGAGGATCTTGACCTCGACACCCTGACCAATTCCCACACTGCCGGGTTTGCGCTGGCCTGGTGGAAGAGGGTTGCTGGTCATCTGATGCGAGGCTTCGGTCATGGCATAAGCCTCCAAGACGGGCGCGTTGAGTGCCTTTTCAAGTTCGTGGAACGTCTTTGGGGAAAGTGGGCTGGAGCATGATCGGATGAAACGGATATGCGGCATGGGGCTCGGGAGAGGACTCTTCAACAGGATTTGATGGATGGTGGGAACGGCCGTGTACCAATTTGCCTTGTGCTCCTGGAAGTCTTTCCAGAACTCAGAGGCAGAGAACTTGAGCGGTATAATGACAGAGCCGCCGGACGCCAAAGGAGCAAGGAAGCCAGCAAGGAGACCGTGGACGTGGAAGAGAGGCATGACCAACATAGTGCGGTCCTTGGAAGACAGTTCGTAGGTGGCCTGGATGTTCTTCATGGTGCGCAACAGATTGCGGTGCGTGAGCGGAACAGCCTTGGGGCGTCCAGTCGTACCGCTGGTGTGCAATACGAGCGCGACATCCTCAGGCTGTGCCGAGAGAACCGGCGAAGCTTTACCCGCGAGCTTTCCGGCCTCCTTTACGTCCAAGACAACCTCGCTGCCGTTGTAGTAGCACTCTGCAATCGCTGCATTGTACTTCCTTGCAGCTCGGACCGCCGCTGCGTCTTGAGCAAACGCGCCTTTGGGGACGAGCGCAATCGCCGAGCTCAGGTCATCGATGTAGAACTCGAACTCGGATTGCTTGTAGGCTGGGTTCAACGGGGCAGCGATGGCTCTCTGCCAAGATGCAGCGATGAAGGATACGATGAACTCGTACGTGTTGGGCAGCGCAATGGACACAGCCGCCTCGGCAGATACGCCGACCTTGGCCAGTTGCTGCTGGAACGCCTTCACATCTGCGGCCAGCTTCTTGTAGGAAACGGTCAAGGCTGGTGCACCGGGGACGATGATGGCGGTCGATGATGAGTCCTTGGAAAAGGCTTGTTCCAAGGTAGTGGGAGACATTGTGATTACAAGTTGGATCTAGGGTACGCGATCAGCGAGATGGTTCAGTCGCAGGGGCGGGCTTATCTGGGTGTACCTTTTTGATTTTATGGCGCGCAAAGGGAATATCTATGAATTTTATACAAACACCGAAGCCTGCTCGGATGCGTCTACTGTCGTCTATAAAGGACCGTTATCGGATGTTGGAATCAGGAGCACTGGCAAGACGGGACGGTAATAGTCGTTCCTGAAGGTGATACGTAATGCAGCTAACGCGTTAGCGTGGGGAGCCTGCACCGAGACGCGAGCCGCATGCCGCCTTGCCGACTCCACCATCTCTTACCACAACCTCAACCCCCACCGCCACCATATTATCAACACCACCACCTCTGCTGGTCATGACATTGCTGTCGCGACACCATTAATAATAGTATACTGGCTGTGTAATATCCATTCTCCCTCCGCGACACCAACAAACACCGCGCAACGCGTCCTTGCGCACAGCCGCACCTGCTTGCGCATCACCACACCATGGCATCTCCACCGCCGCAGAAGGCTGCCGGCCTGCCGAACCCATATGCCCAGAGGGGCCTTCCCAATCCATATGCCTCGGCCACCATCTCCGCTGCGCCTGTCAAGTACACCGAGGAGCAGGCCAAGGCTGAACAACAGAAGAAAGCACCTGGTAGCTACCTGAACTGCTCCACACTTTGACCTTGACGCACGACTCATGCAAATGTGCAGCTTTTCATAATCCACACAACATCAAGCGCCCTCAGGCGAAAAACCAAGCCAAGAAGCCCGGCACAACTGTCAAGAAACCTACCATGCCTGCACTTGCCCCGGTCTCCTCTTCAGGCCCTGGACCCGCTGCCACCAACCCCCAACAGCACGGTATCGACTACTACCGAAGTACCGCTGACGACGATGCTGCCATCCTAGAAGAACGGAGAATGCGCAACTATGAGGAGAAGCAGCGAAAGAAGGAACAGAAAAAGTTCAACAAGATGTTCGGCCAGTGGAATCCACAAGCACCTCACAAGCCCGAGCGATATTCCAATCTGCGAGCTTACAGAGCGAGTGGTGGCTACCAGCGCAAGAAGGAGGGTTTCAACGCATTCTTGCGAGGGGCTGCCGCTCAGTACAGATCTCGTAATGAGAGCGAACCCTTGAATGGCTCCCGCTCAGCCACTTCGTCTAGCCCAGCTCCAGCTGCAGTGCCCACCAGACCATCATTTGCCCCGCCGGCCTCCTACGATGATGCCCCTGCAATGCCGCCCTCTGATCAGTCTGGAGAAGATGCCTATGCTCGCCGCATGCAGTTATCACAACCACCGCCAAACAGTGCGCCATCTCCCTCTGCACATGAACCTACACCTGGGTATCCTCCGCCTCCCCCTTCAGCCACACATGATCACACGCCTCCACCCCCACCTCCACCACCATCTACTTCTGTGCCGACATCTTCAACTTATCAAGGTGCCACGATATCTGCGCCACCCGTACGATACGCGAACGCGACCATTTCAGCGCCCCCAGTCCATTACGAGCGTCCCGATGTTCCAATGGAAGACCTAGACGACGAGCCAACCCCAGAAGAGCGTCCATCGAAGCGCCCCAAGATCAGCAAGGCAGAAGCTATGATGGCCAAGATGGGATACAAAAAGGGTCAAGGTCTGGGCAAGAACAACGATGGAGTGGTCACTCACCTGGAGGTCAAGATGCGCAAAGTTCCACAGGGAGCCAGCACTTTTGACGATGAAGGCGGCAAGGTCAAATCGCAACAGGTCTGGGATGTTCGTGGCGGCGCACGCAATCAGAAAGACGAGCCTGGCAAGTTTGGTGAAGAGTCGTCTGTCGTGGTTACTTGGGGTTGTGTAGATGGTGTGGATTGGGACGCCAACGCTGATCGCAACGACGGTGGTATCCGCCAGGATATGGGTGAAGCGTTTAGCAACAAGGTAAGATTTTCCTCCCCGAAAACGCGTACCCTTTTTTGGTACTTGTGTCTCATGTACTAACATTACGTAGTTTGGCCCAGTCGAGCACGTGCAGTTGGACGAAAACAACAAGGACGGCGTCGTATACATCCACTTCCAATCCGTCCTCAGCGCCCTCAATGCCGTCAACCGTTTCGACGAAGGCTGGGAGTTTAGAGGCAGGAAGATTCGCGCTAAATACTACGATGAGCGCAAGTTTCACGCCGGTATTTATGATTATTAGCCACTGCCAATTTTTCTTCTATAATTGCTGGTTTGGATGGATGGATGGGACTTGGGGATATTTACGCTGTAAAGTTTAGTTTAGTTTGGCTTTCTTTCTGGTATACACCCTCTTCTATCTTCCAAAGTGAGTGAGAGAGGGGATTTGTTTGTACGAGGGTAAGAGCGCGGGGGTGCATGTGTAGTAGAAAAAGGGATGTGGTGAGAGCAAACATGGTATTCTACAAAGGCGCTAAAAAAAAACTTCCCATGTACGATATACAAATAGTGGGGTACCTGAATATGCATGTCATGTTCACACGGCGTTCGCATGCATGGCTTGGCTGTGCGACATGAGCCCTGGGATCTAGGATCAATGCAAGTCCGCATCATACGATTCCCACTTGATATGTTCTATTCAAAGTACCGCCTGCTGTATGCAAAATATTCTATACGCCTGCCTAGAATTTGAACTCTCATGCTAGTCGTTTTGAAAGTACAAAGAAAACCAAAAAAAGAGGTAATAGCCCATTTCATCCCTTAGAAGTTACTCATACAGGTATCACAAGATGTGCCCTTTCCCCCCAAAGCCCAAGCCATAGAATCAATGCGTGCGCCCGACTCCCTGGGTATATGCTTTCTTCTCTCTTTCCTTTCCTTTCGCCTCCCCGCTTGCCAATAACACACAGCGAAGGTGCTTCATCTAGTCTAAGCATTTCCAGGCTTCTCATCCGTGTCAATATGCCAGACGACATAATTTGGCAATCCATAGACACCGTAGCCCGCTCGGAGTGCCATTTTAGCAAACCCTTCGGTTTCCGCTTGGTTCTCAAAGGCGTAACAAGGGAAGTTGATTCCAGAACGATGAACATCTGCCTTTACGATAATGTTGACACCACCGACACCGTCGAGGGGTATTTCCTCGTCCTTGTCTTTGCGCCAGTCGCCCATTTTGGCCATGTACTTGCGGTTGGTGGGGTATTGCTTGTAACCTGGACAAAATTAGAAGAGCGTTGATAGTTGTGAAAATGAGGCGATATATACCTTCTGCAAGGACAACGTTCTTGTCCAGAGAAGCTGCAAGTTTAAGACCTTGAGGGGATTCCTGCCAAGAGTTGTAATCGACTATTATTGTCAGTAAAAGCCAATGTGACCCCGCAGGCTGTAAATCTTACATCGTCCTTCAATGTCAACCTTCTTGCCATTTTCTTCCTTGTATCGGTGGAACCAGATATCTGCGACTAGTCAGAATTGCTGTACTTCAACTTTTGTTGACAAACTACTCACTGGGAACAAGCACATCGCGGTCGTGTGCAACAAAATCCTCGATAATCCTAGACGGACTGTCGACAATGTCCACATCTCTCCAGTAGACCCAGCTGTGGTCTGGCTTCAAGGCAGTTGCGAGTAGGTAGTTTCTCGCTCTGCCCAGCGCCTTCCGCCGCGGACCCTGAGCCTCGAAGCCGTGGCGGTCCTCGACACTCTGAGAGAGAGTTACACCAAAATCCTTTTCGACAATCATGGTCGACCTGAACGCTATCTCTGGATTGTTCTGTATCCTCTCCAGCTCCTTGGCCAGTACCGCCACGGTATCGTCTGTGGTATCGCCAACGAGAAATGCCAAATCAATCAGATCGTGAGGGTATGTCAACTGGGCGATAAGGTCGAAGTGCTTTGGCAGATAGAAAGACGCATCGCGGAGTGGGGTAAGGATCAAGACGCGCTCCTTATTCTTGACTGCATTCGGGGTAGATTTTATTGAGTTGAGATTTACGTGCTGAATGTCGGTAGCATTGACCTCGATTGGCTTGTGGTGGTTGAATACAACGGGTGTAGTCAAGTGAGCATGCCATTCTTCGTTCTCGTTTGGTGACATGTGCATGGGTGGTTTGGAGGGGCCGAAGCAGTAGAACCTAAGACGAGGGTATTAATAACGGACATATGAGGCGACGGGCAATACCCTGGTGCTGGTATGGAGCCATGGATAGGAATAGCGTACCTCTGTAGTTCGCCGGTGGCTGAGCCCATAGAACGCCATAGCAAGATAACAGCTGTCAGGAGACCTAGAGACAGCAGGAATCTTGGATTGCGCGCCGTGTGTAGGACCTGGCGCGAGGGTGGCAGTCTTGCCTGGGCGGCCTTCCACGAGTATCCTTTGCCCGCAAGCATGTTGAGTGGGTATTTGCCAGCGTGGTCCTTATCCTCGGGCTCGTCCCCTCTGGCCTGGGACAGGCGTATCGAAGAGCTGCGTGCTCTCACCGTGTCAGCGTTGGTCGTCTCCCGTTGCGAGTGACGCGGCGATTGTGGGTGTGATTGCTCCAGTTTGGCGGACTGGGGCGCCTGGGGCGCGAAGGGCTGAGGGCAGTGACAGTGCGACGATGTGGGTGGATGTTTAGAGGTGACGTCGCACGATGCTCAATTGGTAAGGGCGGAAGCGACAGACGCGGACAAGAGGGCACTGACTATGGGACCCAGACTGTCACTGGCCGGCAGATAAGGAAAGGGCGATAGGCAAACGACAGGCGCGCTTGGTGTTGCGAGACAAGTGCAACCATGGCTGTGAGTGCATTCGGCGCAAGCACCATGTGCAATTGCAAAATGACGCTAACTGTAGATCAATCGCCATAGGTCCACTGATGACGACGACTCAGAAATGAAATCAGTCGCCCTCATGTCCCTTCACTCTACCGTACCAGACTTCACCTCAACTTGGGCGGATTGTGCAGCCTCAAAACGTCCCGTCCGTTGCAGTTGTCGCCATGGGCAAGCCGTCTTGTCAGCACCAATACTATCTCGGGATCCCTTGTCCATACTGTCAGCCACCTGCCGCTCATTCGGTGGTGCGGCCGCTACCAAGGAGACGGAGGTTCCTCCAATCCTAGTCTTATCTACCCAGATGTCGAATGTGGTAGCCAGTTTGCGGTGTGTAGTTGTAGTGTAGTTGTTGTGGATATGGAATCGAGGCATGCGCCCAAGTGTGCAACCCGCAGAGGAAGAAAGACTCAAGCATGTGATGGAGGTCAAGGCCTAAAAATACGAAAACAACTACGTAATGTTTATTTACTTATTTTTGCCTGTGAACAGCGCCATATTCAAAGCCAGAATAAACTTGGCTGAGCCTGCTATATCAATATATGTCATCAGATTGATTACAACGTGTCGCACTTGTCACAAGCGACTTTCTAGTCATAAATAATAATAATTGGAAAGCTTCACTTTGCAACAAAACCGGCCGGCCGCCGCATGACTGCTGCACAGACAGTCATCATACACTTGCACACAGAGATATGCATGGCTCGTCTCGGACCGAAAAAGGCTTGGATTCAACTTTTAGCCATTTGCACGCTCAACTCCACGGGGTAACTTATGAACAAAAATAAATGAAGAGAATGACTGCATGAACTATCCCAAACCAAACCCTCCTCGCGGCACTGCTACGCCTCACGTCGCTCGGCAGACTTAGATATACTGCGGATTAAATGTCTGCCTCGACCCTTTTAGCCAAACAATACATACAATTGTTACATGCTGATCCATGAACCATCCCCACAAGCCCTCCTCCAGTCCTCAGAAGCTGAACCCGGGCTTCACGCCCGTTTCTGCTCGATGCTGTACGCTATCAAAAAAGAGTCAAATCCTTGGGGGTGTAGTCTATGCGATACGGTGAACGCCAGCGTCATCAACCTGCTTAAAAGAAGAGAACAGCGACCATGGCTGCGAGGCCAAGAGCGCCGTTGACAGGGCTGAGCGAGGTGGCAGCACCCTTCTGGCCGCTGCTTCCGGTTCCGCTCTGCTTGGTGGGGTCGTGTCCTTGCTGGCCGGGGTCGATGAGAGTTCCCTCGCAGGTGTAGTCCTTGCTCTGGATGAGCTTCTTGGAGTGGAGGTCCTTGTAGAAATCGCAGGTATCGTTGAGCTGAGCAGATGACTGAAGGTTGAAGGCACCCTTGACGCTGTCGAGCTTGGGAGTGGAGACCCTGGAAATTGATTAGTAAAGACTTTCGGATTGTCGCGTGAAATGTACTTACTTGCTGAAGTTACCGCTCATGTCAAAAGCACCACCGATGCTCTTGAGCTGAGGAAGGCCGTCAACCTCAACGAGCTTGGAGTTGTTGGCAATCTGGATGTTACCATTGATCTTGGTAAGGAGAGGGAAAGAGATGTTGTTGAGCTGCTCGTTGGCGACAATAGCAACGGCCTCACCAACGCTGGTCAGGTTGGGGGCAGAGAAGGTCTCGAAACCGTTGTTGTAGAGACCGAGAGATCCATTGAGGGTCTCGAGGGAGGGGACGGAGACGGAACCGCAGAAGCGGAAGGTCAGGTTGCTAGCCCAGATGAGGTTGGGAAGCTCGACCTTGACGGCCTCGTTGTTGTCGGCAAGGGTCAGCGAGGTGGAGACGTTACCAAGCTGCATGGAGATGGAGTCAATGTAGCCGTTGTTGGCAATGAAGATCTCGTCAGCCTCCTCAATGTTGATACCCTTGAGCGAGCGGAGAGCAGTGTTCTGGATATCGATCTTGTCGGCCTTGGTGACCTCGGAGGTGAAGCCGATCTCCTGGAGGTTGGGGAGCGCCTGCCACTGGATGGAGTCGATGGTCTTGAGCTTGGGGAAGTTCAAGGCGTAGAGTGAGGTGAGACCCTCGAGGTCCATGGTTCCGTCAAGAGTCTCGAGGTCGCTAGCGCTGATCTGCTTCATGTCGGAGTTGTCCTTTGCGATCAGGTTACCGGTGATCTTCTTGACGCCATTGATGGCAATGTCCTCGGTGGTGCCGGTAGCAATGGCGATGTTACCCGAGAAGGTCGAGCAGCTGGCCAGAGCAGTGGCATCGCCGGCATTCTGGATGGTGGTGGTTGCGGAAACGCTGCAGGCGGCTGGAGGAGCTAGTTAGCGAGGCCGCGCAATCAATCACGTCCTGTTGGGAAAGCAAACACGTACCGTAGGCAGTGCTGGCGGCGACGAGGGCCGGAGCAGCGATCTTGAGCATGGAAGGCATTTTTTTGTTGTGTAATTGAAGCAGGACGGTAACTGCGAGTAGATGTAAGCGGGCGCGTCGAGACAGAGAGTGGAGTCGGCCGAAGGCTGCGACAGTTACGTACCTGGGATGTTAAGACTGCTCGCACCGTTTCAGTTTGGTGGGCGCTGAGGAGAAGTGGGAGCGGGTACGGGAGAGCTGGAGCGAGAGGAAGAATTAACTAGAAAAGCAGGCAGTATTAAATGGAATAGTCCCAGTGGCGCGATTGAAGAAGGCGCGGTCGTCAAGAGCGAGTGGATGAAGACAAGGAGAAGAAGGACTTTGCAAACAAGAGCGAGAGCATGGAGAAAAGGGGAGCGCGATGGTGCCAGACGCGGCCGGCGCTAGGGGGCGGCGCTAGTGGTTGCGCCGGCGATCATTGGCGGCCTGGGCGGGTGCCCAGCATCATCGATGCTCACTTTGGACGCAGTCAATGCCGCAGACGGACCATGGATGCTTGTCCGCCTGGCGCCACGGCTGCTGCTACGACGACGACGACGACAACCACTGCCATCCATGGCCATCACCAAAACCACTGCCACTGGCCACATGCTGTCTGTCAACAGATTTCCGCGCTTGTCGACTGTGCCACCTATCACCCGACCTCTCTCTTTGTCAGTACTAATCCACCTACACACACCACCTACCCTAGAGAGGGCCCAGCATGCCCGCGGCGTCGGTCCCAATTTCACCCTCTGCACGGCCGCCCCGTTATCCCTCGCAAACAAGTGCAAGCAGCATCCAAATCCTGTATTATCCACCATGTGCGGGCCTCGCATCCAGGGTAGCGTCTGCATCGCCCCTCACCCTCCTTGCTAGCAGTCCTCTAGTAGCCTGGACGCAACCATGATGCGCCCTCCTCCGCTAGCTGCCTGCCACGTCCATTCTTTGTGCGCTCCTCACAATTGCCAATTGCACACACACACTGGCGGATGGGCGGCACGTTGTGCTGTAGTGCAAAAGTCAACGGGCAGCCACTGTCCACAGTTGCCACCGTCGAGGCCGATGCGAAACACAACAAGCAACTGCCTCTTACGCGGCCTCGACTAGGCCGGCTCCCCCCTGACGTCGGTCTCGAGCGCCTCTCCAATCGCTCCAATGCGGTTACATCCGCTCCTCATCCAGCTAGCCTGCCCGTTGCAATCTCCACCCTCCCTCAACACCAATAACGCTGCCAACAAACTGTGCTATTCTTTCCTCTCCCCCCGGCGACCGCTTTGGGCCCTCCTGCTGCTTTGCGCTATCGTGCAGCCGCCTCCTTTACCGTTCCCGCGCCCAGTTGCATCATCGAGGCTCGCAGCCTCATTTCCTTTCCCAGAGGCGTTCACACTGCTCACAACTGCATCCACTCGCTTATCGATTTCCTCTCCCCGAAGAACAGCCTCGCCATTCTCCGCCAAGCAAATTACAAGACCCGCATTGATTGATGTCTCATTTCCCATGCCGAGACCCATCCCCTCGACATCAGCTCACGCCCTCTCCGCTTCGTATCCCGCTACTCGCTGAAACAAGTAGACAGGTATGACATCGCTGCCGCCAGCTTCTTGTTTCGACATCCCAAGATATTCTAGAAAGCGCCAAGTCGGTCGCGAAGCTTGCACATGCTCATGCGCAACACACACACTCGGTCTTGTTTTTGTCGCGACAACAAGTTTCCTTTGTTTCAACATCTCTATTTTCGCCGCAACCTGATGCACACACCACCACGACAAAGCAACCACATGGTAATACCAACATGTGATTTACATGGTCTCGGGCCAAGACAACAAACCTCCTCCACCATGCCCGGATCTTGACGCTCCCACTGCTTTCTGTTGATGTTCATCCCTCGTAATCTGCCTTGCACCCACTGTTAGCCGCGCGGCCATTTTAAGCACCGAAAGAAAGAAACATGACCCAGCGGGGAACTCAAATCTCCCTTAATATCAAAAGTGGCTCCTTGGCAAACACCTAATGGCTATTCAAGTCTAGGTGTCTGTAGGAAGGACCTACACCGCATGTGCCGATTGTTTTAGCACGATAAGGCCCGACTGTGTGACTGTGCGTGTCATGCTCAAGAGGTCGTCCATGTACACTTGCAGCTCAACATGACACAGCAAACAGCACAGTACTGGTCCTACCTAGCTCACCGATGGTAGCTCTTCTAGAGAAGTTACACAGGCCCACAGACCATTTCCTTTTCGATTGGCCATTACACCTTGTACGATACTTGCACAACAAACTCAACATAGTCTCGGTCACAAGTCTCTGCTTGCGCTCAACCTTTCACCCAAATTTGTTTTTTAACTGCAAGGCTGCCTTACCAAACATATTGTACAATGCCCTGCATAGTTCAATTCAAGGGTTGTGTTCCAATATAAACTTTACAACGAGAGTTCCCGGGTAAGCGGACCATGTCTCGAGCGCCGGACGAACGAGGCATCCTGTGCCTCGCGGAGGAACCCTTTTCCAAGGGAGCCGACAGATATCAACGTGATACACTGTTGTTAACAAGAACACACACCAAACTGTGATCATTCAACTATCCGGATCTCTTTCCAGCAAAAGGGTCCAGCAAAGATGGCAGGCAATCATGTTTTTCAAGCGGCAGCGCGGCTCATGCTCACGCTCACATCATCTTGGCTAGATCAAGCCTTTGGCTCGCCCTAAGCTTTTCGCAATTTTACCCGCTTACTCTGCTGCTTTGCCAGTACGACGCTTTGAGGTTCCACGCACATGGACTATTGACGGTTACTAGCGATGATGCCGTCTCACCCCTATTTTCATCCGGCAATGACAATACTAGCAGCGCCGCCGTGGCATCTGTATATACGAAAAAGGGATCTTGTGTTCTGATTTGTCCACTTGAATAAGACCAGCATTGGGGATGGCAGTTTGAACTTGACTACATGTTTGCACGTGGTATCTTTTGCCGAACATCTCATGATAGCTCGATATAAATACCAGCACTCTGCCATCTCCATGCCAAGAAATCGACATCTCCATCAAAAAAGTCCCAATGACCTGGTCAACGGCCATCGATCATCTGCTGATCAACAGACTGATAATCATATGCAATCGATCTTTTCCTCGTCAGAACCCCCAAGAACCCCAAGAAAAAAACCCTGCTTCTACCTGACCCACAAAACCCACAGTTGCACACATCATACGCACATCAAGAACCCCTTCCTTCTCCACAAAACAAGCACATAGCGAACCCTTCCTTCTCCACAAAAAAAAGATATACACGCACGACCCTCTAGATTGCAAACCAGGGGGCAAGAGTAAAAGAAAGATAAGGAAAAGAAAGGGAAGCTTGCGGTCATGATGCTAGTACCACTGTTCCATCTTTCCACACATATTACAGCTGCTGGCGATTGCAGCCTCACCCCTCCACGTACCTGCAGCACCGTTTCTACGAGCTGCAAGCAGGGTTCTGTAACCCCGCCCATCCTATCTCGTAAGACATCTTGTCTCTATAAACTAGGCTAGGCATCTAGATAAATAGCTTTAGGCCTATAAAGTTGGTTATAATTGCATAAGATGCATTACTGTAACATGCCTTCTACAACAACAAAGAATTATCTCGCTATATTCAATAGCAAATTCAGCCGTACGTTCTAAATTTGCTGCAACGCTATACGGTAAACGCTTCAAAGCTATGTTCAATAGCTCTAGTCTCTGCGCCACGAAAAACCGTATACACTATTAGTTGTATACTGTAAGTAGTGACTTACTTTGGCATGATACATGATCAGGCTCAATAGATCAAGTAGCGACCCACAATGGAACAGGTAGAGCAAATCTGATATCCAATCGCTGCCAAAAAAATTGACTGAAGAAGATAGCTATCTTTGTTACGAAAGGAAATCATAATACACACCCGCAGTCCGATCACATGATACTACACTACAGTATCTGGACGACTTAACAGTATACGCAACTTTTGCCACAGCAAGTTCAAGATAGCTTCTGATTCTTACAAAGTAGAGGCATTGAGATTTTTGGCGCCCAACAACGCCATGCTACGTTCTGGCCCCTCCATAAACCTCAGCCTTATTGAGAGGAAATGAATAAAAGCGTGACCTGGTCACACATGAGCGGAGATGTCATGAAGACCATACTCTAAAACATTTCTCTAAGCATTTGCAGATATCCTCTTCGCAATGGCATTGAAGACTGGTTCTCGCTTGGACGCAGGCATTGTCATTCCAGAAGCACTGAAAACTTGTGAAACTAAGTATCAGTGCAATGAAGGGGGTAACGACCGCACTTTAGTTGAAACAGAAGTAAGGCATGGTTGTACGTAGAGTGCAGAAAGTGAAGATGTGTTACGGCGGAGTACTTTCCTACCATCGTCACGTTGCGGTGTAGACTGCCAGGCGTGCGATACAGTATAATGTGTAATAAATTATCCCATCTTCTTCTACTCATTGCTGTACGGTAGTGAGTCTAATACAATCATAAGTCACTTCTTAGATCCAAAGCTGTCTATTTAGTTGCCTTAAATTGGCCTGGTTTATATAGTGTAGGGGTAAAGCTGCAGTCGTGAACAGCCGTAATGAGATATCGCAAGATCATTCCGGCTTTTGCAAGACAGTGACGTCAACATCGGCTATGCGCCACATGTACCACATGAGCAGTGATCTAAAAAGAACACCATCAGTTTCTTCAATTCTTGTTTGAGAAAAAAAGATTATATAGGGAAGAAAGAGCAGGTACCACATACCTATACGGCGAGAACTTGGCGGCTGTAGCAAGCATTTCTTGCTCGCTCATATATCTAAATGTTGCGAAAAGACCTGCATTAGTATCTACACTGAATGGCGAGAGAAAGGAAGGATGATACGTACTTCCACTTCCCACCTTTATTCTTCAGTTTACTTACGTCACGGCCAGCGTAAACGGCCATACCGCGTCTACAAAACCCCGAATTAGCCTGCTTTTTCGTACGTGCTGAAAAATTGAAGAAAGGAAGAAAAAAAGCTTTTGCACACAAGTTCGTAACCGTAAAAAGAAGAGGGTAAAAAAAGGATAATACGTACTGCACCCCCAAATCCCCCGTACTAAAAACATCCATCCGCTTCAATCCAAAACACGCAAACATCTCTACACTCCAGCGCCCTAGCCCACGCACTGCGACAAGCTTCTCGATCAACTCTTCGTCGCTGGCACTAACTAACATCTCAGCAGAGAGTTCACCTGAGGCGAATTTCTCGGCGAGCCCGTGGATGTATTCTGCTTTGCGCTGGGATAGCCCCGCCGTACGCAGGGTAGGCAAGGGGAGAGATAGGACTTGGGAGGGGGAAGGGAAGGAAGGATGGGTGGAGGGGAAGAGGGCTGTGAATTTTGAGCGGATGGAGGCGGCGGCTTGGCTTGAGACCTGTGAGAATTCGTCAGTTGTTATCCGCCGTGTATACGATATTCTTTGATATTGTGCTTTTTTGTATAGAATGAGACGATATTAAAGAATGTACCTGCTGTCCAATGATGCCAGAGCTCAAGGCTGTGAATGGATCCACAACTTCTCGTAGCCCCTCTGGACTGAAAATCTTACAATGATGTTTTTCGATCAGGGTCTTTAACTTGGGGTCTACGCTCACTAAATGCGCTTCTGCATCTTTCAGCAAGCGATCGATGTTCGTGCTTGCACTGGGGATTGCGCCCACGTCTGGAGGTACCAGTTCTTTGGCTTTGCGCTTGCGAGCAGGTGTTGCGTCTCCGGGCTTTACCGGAGAGGACCCGTAGGCTTGGACGGTGTGAGAGCCGTTTGGTGTTGCGAGGGGTGCGTTTGTGGCGTGTGGTTCTGCGGGACGGGGTTGCAGGCTGGAAAGATCGTCCAGTGGGTGATCGAAATCCGTTCCGCCTTTTGATAGAAGCGTGACGGCTGCAGGAGTGGGTGTAAAAGGGACTGGCTTTATTGGCGATTCTGCAGTTGGCTTCGTTTTGCGTTTCTTGGGAAGAGGCGTTACGGGATCAGATGTGGATGTAATATCCGGGATTTGCTTTTCTATTGTTCCGTTGGTGTTTTCTTCGGCTCTAGGGTTCTCTGATACATCGTCTGATGGTTGTGACTTGGACGCGACTTTCGAAGTCTTGCGCTTTTTTGCTGTTGCATTTGATTTGGTGGCCTTTTCATACTTCGTAACGCCATTTTGAAAATTTGAATCTGCTACTTTTGTTACAGTAGTACTTGCGACGCGTGCAGAGCGTCTTAGTGACATGGTATGTGACTTGTGGATGTTCCAACGGATGCTGACTATTCTAGTGAAGAGGCCCTGACGTCATATGGTGAGTGCGCAGTTGGCCAGGGGTTGCAACGACGTACGGTATGTTTCAGCGTTTGTCCTGCTATGGTGCTCCCGAAAAGCATGGGCTCAATAGTTGATGTTAGAAGTGGCGAGCTTGACGCGTTACATGGTGGGGGGCTTCTTTGTGTTCAGCCTAGCTGACGCCTGAGCACATGATCGCGTGGCGCTGACATATCAAGAATCTCGACATGCTCCGCATTCTCGTAATGCAATGATCGGCAGAGTTATTAACGACTTTGGTATGAATTTAAAGTATTACCTGCCAATAACAAAATAGCGTAAGAATTCACATTTGTTGGTCTGCCTTCTGAGCGCCGTGTCCATACAAAAGCAATCAGAAGCCCCGGGTGCTCACAGGGTGTGTTCACGAATCTGAAACCGTATCAGAGTTATTTTCAAGGCACAGCTAATCTATGTAAAACTCGACCCGTTGAAAAATCAAGTGATAGATTGTGGTTATCGGCGGACAAGTTCATGTGGCCCATGGCATATTTCCATTACCCACAAACCCCTCTGGGTCAACAGGAAGTAAACCGGTAGACCAACCTCTAATTTTCCTGTCTCCCATACATCTGTATAGCCTAGCCCTTTAGATATACTTCACTTGCTGCAAAATTACCACGGACCCCTTCCCGAAGCGCCGTCGTGCTCTTTTGATCCTGATTACAATTTCAGGCGTTTATTCTATCATATAGCCTCTTTGGAATCTTTTGTTCTTTCGTGACCATTTCACACAGTGTGGCGCCAGCCTATCCAAGTCATTAGATATATGTTTCCCAGGTATCAAGTAAGATGACTTACGATCATAAAGGCTATGAGAAATGGCACACTAAGCCAGACATCCAAAGGAAGTACTTTGGACGTGAAAATGAAGAGCAATAGGCCACTGACCATGATAGTTGCACAGCCACGGATTTTACGGCTGCGCTCATAGTTTTGAGCTTCGTAGGTACTGAGCTTGTTCTCCAGTTTGGCGATGCGGACTGCTTGTGGACCGGTATATTTGCCTTCTAGGTAGATACTTGTGTTGACCATCGTGGTTGGTATTGGCGTAGATTAGAGTCGATGGTTCGTTTCCGTTTGTGTCTGCAGTAAGAGTGTTAAACAGAAAGTGACCTTCCTTGCTAGAATGTATACCCAGAGGTCTTTGTGAGAGTATAATATATACCCGATTAGTACCAGAGTATAAAGCGAACCACATGATATGAGACGGGTCGTACATTTTGAGCTTGATGGGTTGCTGTGGTATGAACCATGGTATTTCTTTCCATCCGACGACTTAGATCTCTTACATATCGATTACACAATTTTAGACTGGCGGACGTGAACCTTAAGTAATTAGGTTGTTTTCAACTTGCTGAGAACGGCCCACAGCACCTGAATATATACTGGTGCTGCTGTTGCGGACCTGGCTCATATTATGGCACGTGACCATTTCTCCACATTGGCACAACAAATGATTATAATAGTAACAGAATCTGGAACTTACGATAAAGTGATATTACGTGATAATGTTCTAAAAGAAATAATAGAATGGGTATGTGGCGCGGGGATGTAGAAGAGGGCTGGTGAAACAGGTTGCATCGCCGATCAAAGTCAAGCCGCAAGGCACCAGTTCCTATGACGCGGGGATGTCATACAACAACCCGCACTTGCATTTGCTGTATTGACAATATTTGTTGTAAACATTCCACCTTCGAAACAATGCTAGTGCTTCTGTTTACCCAATTGCTAGCTGCATTCGCAAGTGCAGGGTGTTTTGAGCCCAATATTGCGCATCCTCCGCCTAGATACGATGCTCATGATCCTCTCCTCCAAGAAGCATTTGAGTCGATAAATGAGGCACTCACGGTAGCTATCGCAGCACCAGAATTCGACCAAACCTCTTTATCTATAGAAATTACTTCTTCAAAAGAAACGCTCTGGTCGCAACACCACACAGCGCGCGAGCGCAATGCTTCACGCCCGGATATCCCACAAGTCAATGGCGACGCACTCTACCGCATCGCGAGCATAACAAAAGCTTTTACTATTCTCGGGGTTCTGTATCAACACGCAGCTGGCAATGTGAGTTTGGATGAGACGGTTAATACGTATCTGAATGAATTGGGATACAAGTCAGATGGTGGCGTTCCATGGAAAGATATCACGCTGCGTAGTCTGGCCAGCCAGCTCAGCGGTATCCCACGCGAGTGTAAGGTGTCCGACAACAAAAATCGCACAATGTTCCAAGCATGCCACACTGATCAAGGTAAGCAAAGGCTGATTTGGTTTCTTAGGGGCACAGAACGATCTCATCCATCAGGGTCTTGATCTTGCCAAGGCGGGCCTACCGCCTGATGTTTCCAGAGAGGGCTTGCCGACGTGCGATGAGTACTCACCGAATTATGAGACACCTTGCACTGGGAAAGGTTGGCTTTTGGATTGTAAGAAAAAAGGATACCTCACTAACTAAGTTCTGCATAGATTTGTTCAAACAGCTTAAGAAATTCCGCCCACTCTTCGCACCAAATCAAGCATCCACCTACTCCAATATCGCCTACGAGATCCTCGGACTCGTCCTCTCACACGTCCGAAACCAAACTTACGAATCATACATTGACGAAGCCATATTTAAGCCCTTGAAAATGTCCAAAAGCACCTTCTCCCTTCCCCCTGACTCCGCCGGCGTGATCCCCTCAGGCCTTCATTTCTGGGACGTAGACGAAGGCGTTCAAAACCCTACGGGCGGTATATACAGCTCCTCTACCGACCTATCCAAGTTCCTCCGCTACGTATTGACGCACTTCAATGCCGTGACACCTGCAATCAACTGGATCAACCCCGTCTCGCCTTCACGCGGCTTGAATTCCTTCTACGGTATGCCCTGGGAAATCCTCCACACAGATCGTATACTTGAGGACTCGAAACGAATGGTACGCTTTATTACCAAAGGCGGTGGTCTCCCCGGCTACACCTCTGTCATCATAGCCGTACCAGAATACGACTTGGGTATCACGATTCTTTCCGCTGGGCCCAGCCGGGTGCTTTTCAAAATCAGAGAAGTAATCACCGTCACTTTGATTCGTACGGCTGAGAAAATTGCTATCCGTCAGCTGAACGAGCGCTACGCTGGTACATATAGCGTTGTTGATTGCAAGCTCAATTCTACGGTGACGCTGAAAGCAGACCATAGGGGCTTGGTTGTTACGCGCTGGATTTCTAATGGGACGAACATGTACGACTCGCCTGCTGTCAGGATCTATGCACCATCGCAGTTTTATATTCAGCTGAGTCCGACGCTTTTGTATCGCGATGAGGAGAGGGCGCTCGGAGAAGAGTGGCGCGGTATGCTTGCTGAGGAGCGGGGCGAAAGTGCGGGAGGTGTCTGGGATGATTTTTGTGTGGAGAACTATGAGACGACGAGTTATGCGGGTATACCGTTCAATGGGGTGGTGTTTTGGAATGAGCGCGAGGATGGGTCGTTTGGGATGTTGGAGTTGTCTGCGTTTAGGGTTAATCTGACGAGGGTTGATGGAGATGGTGATGAAGGAGGAGAGGTAGATGATGATGGACAGGAGATGACGGAGTTGTGATTGTCAATGTCTCTCTGGATATATCATGTGCCCCTGGTGTTCACAATGGCGCAGCATGACCGAAGTGAAGATACGGAGATGAAAGCGAACTACACATATCGTATCCTCCTATCCTGAATCAATTAGTAAAGGCTGCTTGTTATGTTTCAACCTATGAATCGGTATGAGATTATTCTTGTCTATCCAACTGCATTCTACATGAGACTCAGACACATCTCCTCATACTTGCAGTCTGTACACTCTGAACCTGTGCCTGAATGCATTTAAATGAGTTTCACTGATAAAGGTTACAATGCCAACAATACACGTTTTGCATGGATTGTTGTCCGGATTTTTCACTGCAGGTGGGATTATTTGGGGACAGACCTATTGGTTGTATATTTAGCTGCGGTCTATGATGCGTAGATCCGTAGTTGCACGGTCGCGTCGATAAAAGTCGCCACCTTCACAGTCGTGTCGACTCCAACAGCTTGCGATGCATGAAAGCATTTATATGTAAGTGAATTCACTCGAAAAATTGGTAAAAACGTATTTCACATGGACGATGCAGCATTTCCCCATAGCTATAATACTCTTCGCAGAACGACTTCTCGTAGACCACTTTGTCGCATGTCCAGAAATATATCCAGGGTATTGGTGGGCATCAAATTGATCGTTCCAACGTGCCAAAGACCAAAAAATAGAATAATGGTTCGGATGCAATGGAGATGATTCCTGTACGAAAGACATTGGTATGGTACACTCTATTGCACAAACCCCAAACTCGCTCCATCCAGCCCGAAAATGGTCATACCGGACCCATTGCCGCAGATTTAGTGACCGCTAGCGGCGTTCTTCTGCCTCTTCTGGACAATCATGGTCTCAAAGTCTTCACGCTCAGCCATCTCGGCCTCGATATCGGTAATCAGGGGGCTGAGGTATGGGACGTCCTGTCGCCGGTTAGCGTCTGATAGATCCATTCAGAGCGGTGACTTTACCTCCTCTGGCTTGGTCCACTCCTCCTTGGGCAGAAGCTGGTGGGACATGGAGAGCTGCGACATGTTAGCCACTTGATGTCCAACCTGCCTGTATTTTCGATCTAAAAGTACCTGGAAAGCCCTGCGCAGACGGAAGACACGGTCGTAGGCCTCTTGAGGTCGGAGACGCTTGAGAGCGGTCTGGACGGTGTCGTTCTCCTCGGGGAGCAGGTCATCGGCCCTGTATAGCAATTTCCGTCAGCCCATTGTTCCACACCCTGCTTTTCCTGCCTTCCGGATTTTTTTCTGTCCTCGACAGTAGATGGTGTTCGCATCGGGGCTCCGTACCTCAGGCCGAGCTGCCTGTAGCCAGCGGCGTTGCAGTACCAGTTGGAGAGGGGCTTCATCCAGCGCTGCAGCCACGGGCGCTTCATGATGTAGGGGGCGAGAGACGGCGCAGACATGGTTGCGGTGGTTCGACGGCGAATCGGGGATGTCGAGTCGTGATGCTGCCGTCAATTGCAGTTTTGACAGTCGGAGGTGGTGAGGTCGTAATGCGAAAGAAACGAAAGCCAATAGGCTGAGCTTGGCCGCCGGCGGGCCAGGGGCTTAGTCATCAATCGGGCAGTCCCCACCCGCTCAAGCAGCTTCACTCGTGCTTGACACTGGCTCTGACGTCGCATCGAGAACCAAGCTTTGCACCACCACAACATCAACCATCACCACCACCGCCACCCCACGCCGCCCTTTCTCTCGCCTCACGCCCCAGAAAACTGCCCCGCGATAGTTGGTGCAGTCGCCTGGCCTGGCATCCTCAGAGACAACTCCGCACTTGGTCCGCTCGTCAATGGAGCCGAACAATCGTTAATTCTTGTGTTACTCAAGTGCTGCGGGGTTTCCGCACACTGAGGCACCGCAAAGGGGACGACGGCCTGTACGCACCCACCCACTCTTCAACCACGCCCATAGACTGGTTCTAATGAATCGGTACACGCAGTGCCACCCATGTCGACACACGATCCCGAGCCGCCGTCCCCGACGAAAGTCCACGACCGGTATGCGCCATCCGCCCGGCCTGTCCAACCGCGCGACATGTCGATACCCACCAAGCAGAGTGCCTGGAGTGCGCCCATTGCGAAACTGGCTGTCAAAGTCGCAAATCTTCCTGACGGTTCCGTCAATGCGCTGTGCGGGGCTTCTGCCGGCGTCGCTTCCGGCATCGTCACCTGCCCACTTGATGTCATCAAGACGCGATTGCAGGCGCAGGGCTCATTTCGCCCACGAAAGTATACTGGACCGCCCCGCACCGTCTACAAAGGCCTCGGTGGCACTGCGCGCATCATCTGGGTCGAGGATGGTATCCGCGGCCTGTACAGAGGCCTCGGGCCTATGCTACTCGGCTACATTCCGACCTGGGCAGTCTATATGAGCACATACGACCAGACCAAGAATCTCCTCTATCCTCAGATGGGTCAGTAGCTACTCCAGGCTTTTTAACTTGCATTGCTGACTAGGCTTGACTTTCAGAGAACAAATGGCTCGCGCGAACTATTGCCTCACTAGTTGCCGGTGGCTGTTCAACCCTAGTCACCAACCCCATTTGGGTTGTTAAGACGAGATTGATGTCACAAGTCAGCGCTCGCGCATCAGACGAACATCGGCCGCCATGGCACTACAAAAATACATTTGACGCCTTCCGCAAGATGTACGCCAAAGAAGGTCTTATATCTTTCTACTCTGGGCTTACGCCAGCTCTGCTTGGACTCACACACGTCGCTATCCAGTTTCCACTATACGAATTCCTGAAGATGAAATTTACTGGCCTAGAAATGGGCCAAACAGATGCAAAGACCGAGGAGGTGCATTGGTTTGCAATTGCGTTGGCCACTGTACTCAGCAAAATGACTGCGACATCGGCTACATACCCACACGAGGTTTTGCGCACACGGCTGCAGACCCAGCAACGAGCGCTTCCCGAGCACTCAGATAACCATATTACGTTCCGAGGAGGGCACCACGACCAACTCCACACACGACCTCCAGGAACAGCTTCTTCAGACGGTATGATCAACATACCTCGCTATCGTGGCATACTTCGAACATGCACAGTAATCCTCCAAGAAGAGGGTTGGAGAGCCTTTTACAACGGAATGGGCACCAATATGGTTCGCGCTGTTCCTGCAGCCGTTACGACTATGCTCACATTTGAATTGTTGAAGAGTGTTCACCAGAAGATGAAGAAGGAGGGGGAAAGGATAGAAGGATAGAAGTATAGCGATGATTTTCTGTTACTCATTGTACATGATCAGCACGGCGCTGCTATGGCCAGCTTGAGGTTCTGCATTTATAATCATGAACATATAATATAACTGATAAAACCTCATGGAATTAGGCATTTCCCGAATTGATCATATTTTTGTTGTCTGTGATAGTGTGTATTTCAAAAATGTTATGCTCTAGGCGGCGGTTGAGCTAACGCGCGCTATGACCACCTTCTCCACCAAAAAAGTTCGAATGCTGTCGCGCGAACTTCAGTGCCTCTGCACTGCGAGTCTTCCCAACCGCATTCCGTCACAACAATTTGATAGGATGGCACAGCCTTCCTTTTCGCCCGATACCTCTGTTTCTTCGCATACGCTCTCTCTGGGCTCGGCCCCTCCGCCCCCAATGGAGCTCCAGCCCGCCGCTGCGACTGCGCCCACAAGTCTGTTCACAAACCCCCTCGCCTTCTTGCAGCCCACTTCTCAACTTAATGCGTCTTTCCTGGCCGCTGCGAAACAATATCTCGACCCTGTCGCTGCTGGCGTGAGCGAATCGCAGTCGAGACGGCAACAAGAATTGCGCAAGAAGCGGAAGCGGGGCGGAGACTATGACGACGACATTAACGTCTTGCACCTGAAGAAAGTCCACGTAGACGGCTTCGGGGTAGACCAAGTGTTCGAGCAGACTCGCAAGATTGTTGAGGCGACAGCAGAGGAAATTGAACTTTCGCTGCCAGAACAGGAAGATGGCGTTGTGCCCGAGTTTGATGAGGAAGATGAAGAGGATCTTGAAGAGCCTGAGGAATATCACACCGAGTCTGACATAGGAGAAGAGGGCGTGGATTGGGAATACGACGGTGTGGACGATGACGAGGATGCGAAACCAGAAGACGACGAGTCGGAAGACGAAGATGAAGAAATGGAAGACGGCGAAGAGGGCATGCTCTCCGACGGGGGATCTGATGACGAGCCTGCAGAAACCTATGTGCCCGATCCAAATGGTCTCAATGATGGTTTCTTCTCTATAGATGATTTCAACAAGCAGACCGACTTCCTAGAACAGCAAGATCAGAGAGGAGAGGGCGTGGACAGCGACGATGAAGAGATAAATTGGGAAGCAGACCCGATGGAAGACGATGGTGCCAAGACCAAGGCGCGGCCTTCTTTAGGAGACGCGTCGGATGATGAATCCGATGAAGGTGGACCAACTTTTGGCAACGCAGATCTCAATGCGCCCGAGGGTGACAGCGGCGATGAGGATGATTTTGAGGAGGGCGATCTGGACGGCCTTGACGCTGGCATGAACGCCAACAATGTCATGTACAAGGATTTCTTTGCGCCACCGGCGCAGAAAGCTGGAAAGAACAAGAACAAGAACAGCAAGAAGCGAGGGCGGCCGAACCCCCACAACTTCCCGGAGAAGCAGGAGGAGCCAGAAGAAGAGATCGAAGAAGACGTGGAGCGCACTATGGCCAAGGTACACAGGGATTTGTTTGAGGACGATGACGATGTAGAAAGCGATGGTGATCTTTCGGATGTTGACCCTTCGGATCCAAAGTCAAGACGATCCACACACGAACGCAGACAGGCCAAGATAGCAGAAGAGATCAGGAAGCTAGAAGCAGCCAATGTTGCAAAGCGACAATGGCAGCTATCTGGAGAAGCACGCGCAGCTGACCGTCCGCTAAACTCACTGCTGGAGGAGAATCTCGAGTTTGAAAGAGCCGGCAAACCCGTCCCAATAGTCACCCAAGAAACATCAGAAGACATTGAGGCACTCATCAAACGACGCATCTTAGCCGGAGAATTTGACGAGGTACACCGCCGAAGACCAGACGACCTCGCAACAGGCCCCCGCCGTGGTCGCGTCGAGATAGAAGATACCAAATCTGGCAAAGGCCTGGCCGAAATCTACGAAGAAGAGCACCTACGCCAAACGGACCCTAACTTCGTCGAGGCTAAGGACGAAAAACTCAAAAAGGAACACGACGAGATCTCGGCCCTCTGGAAAAGCGTATCCGCCAAACTCGACTCCCTCAGCTCTTCACACTTCAAGCCCAAGCCCGCAGCACCAAACCTCGAAATCCGTACGGACGCCCCCGCCATCGAAATGGAAGATGCCCGCCCCACTGCTGGCGGCGATGTTGCAGGCACAAGCATGCTCGCGCCCCAAGAAATCTACAAGCCCGGCGACGAACAAAACAAGGCCGAAATTGTCACAAAGAGCGGCATGCCCGTTGCTCGCGAAGAAATGTCTCGCGAGGAGAAGTCATCGAGGCGACGGCGCGCAAAGGAGAGGGCTAAGAAGGCTGGTCTTAATAAGCCCAAGGAGCAGAAGGTCGAGGGCAAGGAGAAGAAGAGGGGCGAGAAGAAGCAGTTGCTGGGTGACTTGAAGAAGGGCGGTGTACAGATTATCGGACGCAAGGGTGTTATTACGGATGTCGAGGGCAAGGAGGTCAAGGATGGTGTGAAGAAGGGTGCAGGAAGCTACAAGCTATAGGCCGTGTAGAAGACTCCCCATGCATTTTCTTGTTTTCAACTTGCATTAAAACTCTTGTAGAAATGTATATGATCATTCATGTCTCGGGTGTATATGTATGGAAAAAAACCCCCCCCGCGCTATATACTCATCATCGTTTAAATCATAGTCGTCTTCATCATCGTCATCATCATAAGAAAAAGGAACCGTCATAACCCTTGAACTCACAACGCCACCATCGCAACCCCAATCGCCGCTGCCGCAAAAACCGACATGGCAATTGGAACTACCGCCACAAAACTCGCCTTACTACTACTCGGCGTAACCTTCTCCGTCGTGCCCGCCTGTCCACTTGCCGTCGCCGTACACTGCTGCTCCCCACAGGCATAACCCTGTGGACAACAGTTCCCCCCCGCACTCGCAGCACAGCTATACCACGCACTGGGACAACTCCCCGCGCCCGTCGTGGGCGCCACAACGGTAACACCATTCGTATCCACGACCGTACCCGTAGGAAGAACGCACGAGGACCCTGTGGTCTGGCAGTCGCGGCCGACGCGGCAGCAGCCCGAGGGGTAGTAAGCGCTGCAGACGTAGAAGCCTTGGGGGCAGACGTCTGCACTGGTGGCTTGGGCGGCGGTTGTAGTGCCGCTTGTGGGACGGATGGGGGCGTCGGGCGCGCGTGTGCTGGTGGGGGTGTCGCCGATGCAGGAGGCGCCTGTTGCGCAGGTGCGGCCGGTTTGGCAGCAGCCGCCGCCGAGGGAGGCGGGGCAGGAGAACCAGCCTGTTGAGCAAGTGTATGCGGTGCGGGAGGAGGATGAGGTGGGTGGTGGGGTTGTGCTGGAGGGGGAGGGAGTGGTGGAGGTTTGGGCTGCTGTTGAGGTTGGGGCGGGGGGAGCAGCGGTGGTAGAGGAGGAAGAGGGCGGGATGAAGGTTGTTGATGTGGCTTCTAGGACGCCTGTGCGAGTTAGTATTTACTTGATCACGATATCTTGTTGGTGGTGTGTTTTGGACTTACATCCTACGCCCTGGCATTTGAATCCAGGCATACAGCATCCTCCATTTGGTGAACCGGGGCAACTTGAGTATCCGCTCGCAGTATCACAGCTGACGTTTCCGGCGCAAGTTTGCCCTTTGGGGCAACATCCAACATTTCCGGCGTCAGAGTTACCACTGGTGTTTATGCAATTACTTCCTGTACCGCAGCAGACGTCTGGCGCCCCAATCGACTCGCAGCTATTCGTTCCCTCGGGACATTTGAATTGGCGTTTAAGCAGCACATCTCGAATGTGCATGCGCGCTAACCAGTCCGACTGGGCCAGCGGTCGCAAAGGCGAGACAGCTTGTACTGCGAGGTTACCTAGATTGTCCGAGTCGGATCTCCGAGACTGTTGCTGAGATTCCAAGGCGAATATCCAATTGTCGAGCATAAACATTTCCCCTTCGTCCAGGCTCATCTTCTTGACTCCAATCGGCTTCTCATGTTGCAATCTCTGCGCGACGCTCAACCCGCGCTTCGCATGCACCTCATCCTCGGGAAAGTACTTTAGGTGCTTGGGTACATTGTGCGGCCATTGTTGCTGGTGCGAATCGGCTTGGGCGGCGACAACAGATGAGGTTGCGCACAGGGCGATGATAGCCGGCGGTAATGAAAACAGGTGATGCAAATGCATTTTGAAAGTCTAAGAATGTGATGTCTCTTTGGTACGGACCCTTAAAATTCAACAAAACGAAGCATGTCAGATTCATGGGAAAAGCATGGTACGCGTGCGGTGTGTCGTCGAGGGTGGCTGGTGGGACCGATGCAAGCGTCGGACCCAGGGAATTGGCGAGGCTGGTATGCGTTGGCGCTTCACCGCCAATGATATTCAAGGGAGCATGGAGCTGCCTGACTAGAACAAGACAATGCGCCGCATCTATCGGGTATTACTGTAGATCAGAATGGTGCATGGATTGAGTTGCATGGATGCAGGGTAGGAGGCCATTGGACGTCATACTTAGTGGTTGGGGGCTTGCCGTCCCACTAATTCCGAAAGCATTCCCGGTCCCTCGACCATCCAACGCTGAGCCTCGATCACGACTACGCTGCTTACGCGTTGAGTAAGGCTTAGATCTTGTATGCAGAGAACAATATGTCTTTGCTCTTTGGCTTTGGTTCATCATCTTGTGTGAAATCCTACAAACAATGCACTTCGGGACAGGCACATTATGATCATGTTTAAAAAATCAATCCATTGGACTCGAATATGATAACTATACATAAGATCGGTAGAGTCGTGGTATAGGGCGAATAGCACCGTCATTCGATCGCCCGTTACCAATTCCGACGCATCATTCCATACATGTCTACTTCTGTACCGCACACGTGCGTTGCAGATCCAGGCCTTGCAGTGATACACCTCTAAGCCTGGAGACCCTTCCTAGCTTTGTGCTCGCTCATGCGCGAGTTCTTCAACATAGCTACCCACACCAAGCACGGGACAAGTGCACAAGTTCCAAAGATGACCATAGTCTTCTGTGTGTCAGCAAAGGCTCGGACCACAGCCTGACGCTCTGGACTATCCCATGGTGATGCCAACTGAGCGTTAATGTCACCATAGAGTCGAGCAACCTCGGCGGGAGGAGCGTGAGGAAGATACTCGGCAATCTTCTGGGGTACCATCTGGGTCCAAATCGTTGCGCTAATAGATTGGCCGATGGCACCACCAACTGCAGTGATAACGTTGAGGAGCGCGATGCTGACGGCTACTTGCTCATGCGGTACAGCAACCATAATGGCGACTTGCTCGACATTGTAGAGCATTGCACTTGCCATGGCGCCAAAGACCTCGACTACAATGAGGACTGCAACATTGCTGCCTGGAGTACGGAGATAGATCAACAGGCCAGTCATGAGGATCTGGATAGGAATCGCGACGACAGCTCCCCACTTGTAGGTGTCGGTATACTTCATTGCAAAGCTGACAATGATGGCCCAGGTACAGGAGACAATGTTGAAGATGTTGGTGATATAGCCTGCCTTTGCGACGGAAAGCTGGAAGACGACCTGGAGGTAAGACGAGTACATCATTCGGTAGGAGCTAGTCAAGTCAGTCGGTGTTGTCTTCAAGATGGACATTGAAAACTTACTAGAAAGCAATCCATGAGTTTCCGCCCAACAGGCAGGCCGCAATAACGGAACGGTCCTTCATAAGGTTGAATGGGAAGAACGACTTGCGAGCGTAGAAGCGCTCCCACACTACGAAGAGAGCAACGAGCAGTGTTCCGAAAACGATCATACAAATGACCATGGGCGAAGCGAAGTGATCTTTCTGATATGCGGCGAGCGGGAATGGAAGAAGGAGAAGCGAGAAGCCACCGCATACAAGGATGAGTCCGACGACTGAGAGGTGTTAGCACTGCGAAAACATTCTAAGCAAGAGTACTCACCATCAAACTCGATGCACCAGTACTTGATGCTCTCTACCAGAGATCTATGTGTGCTCTCACGCTTGAGGACACCCATCTTCTTCGCCCGTCTACCCATGAGCCAGAAAACTCCCCAGAAAGTAAGCGAGAAGACTGGTGTCAAGATGGTGAACGTTCCATAACCCCAGCGCCAGCCACCATGCTTGAGAAAGACCTCACCAAGCTTGGGACCGGCCTAAGTATGAAGGAACAATGTTAGCGAGTGGACTGTGTGGATAGGAACATGACACTTACAAACGTGTTGACGACATAAGGGAAACCCGTGAAAGCCATCCAGATGAGGCGGTTCTTCATGAGCGAGGTATCGGCGATGAAGATGTTGAAGACGTAGTCGACACCGTTCATACCGGTCCAGTAGATGACTTGGGCTGCGCAAAACGTCTCTATATCCTGGCACTGGGCCATGAGCATCAATGCTGAATCAATTGTAAGCCACTGTAGAGTATATCAAGGGACACGTAAAGAAAGCTGGCAAGACTTACAAATGACGATGCAGATCAAGCAGATGAGAAATCCCTGAGGACGACCAACAAGATCAATGAACTTGGCCAATGGCAACTTCGAAACACCTCCGACAATGTTGGCAACGATATCAGTCATGGCAGTCAAGCCGTGCTTCGCGAAGGTCGACGTAACGTAGGGCTTCCACGTGAAGTTGGCCTGCTGCTGGAGGGAATTGATGAACGAGATGAGCATGATACTAAAGCACAATCTCAGTAAGTGACTCAATTGGAACAGCTGATGGGAAGAAAGTGTACTTACGCGGCGTAAGCTGCAATCAGCCAGTTCTTGGTCCAGACGACAGTGACAGCCTCCATCTCAGCGGGGCCCTTGGGCTGCTCCACATCGATCCTGTTAGCGGTGGGGGTGGTTACAATCGATGCTTCGCTGCCATATCTATCCGCAGTGGGATGCTTTGCGCTGCCGCCAATGGTATCATCACCACGGGCGAACTCGCGCTGCTCACCAATGCCCATACCCGCAAGCTTCTCCATCTGCGGCGCGTATCCGCTCGCCATGATGACTGGTAAACTAAAGACGCAACTGTTAAAGCCGACTGAATCAGTCGCTGGAGCAAAGAGTGTGGGAGGGGTGGGAGCAAAAGGTGGAGCAGAGGGGTGAGGTGTTATTTACCTTTGAGCGTAAAAGCTGTGATTGATGAGACGTGATTGATGTGTGATGAACTCGACAAGTAGTTGAAGAGATCTTCAAAGAGCGAGTATGAGGAGGAAAGAAAATCGAGGTAGAAGACGATTGCTATATAAGGGCTGGGGGCTGAGCGCCGTGGTGATGAAAGTGAAGTAGAAACGCAGTGGCCAGACCCAATCTAACCCCTCACCGTGAGCGATAAACAGTCCAAGCGGGGGTCACGATCGATTTTGGGCAAACGCTGTGCATGTGAACGGTTGGGGAAGGGGCGTCTGGGACCCACTTGCCTCAGTGAATGCGTCAGTCAGGAACAGGTGAGACTATAGCAAGGTGGCCCGTTCAGTGTAGCTGCACTCCAATTGGGAAGCCGACACTGTCAGGGAGTACTATTAGACAAGATGTTTATCAAAACACAGGCCAATTGACGTATGCGATATTCTGTAGTTGCAATTGAAGTGTGATCTTGCTTGGAGTTCCATTGTGTAGTCTCATCTAACGCACAGTGTATATCCTTGAGCCATCACTCACTCTAACTACTTCTCACATGAAAGAAAGACCTTGGCAACAAACAAGAAACACGAAAGTTGAACACGGCGAATTTGACCTGAATAGCATATCATGTTTCTTCTACTCGGACGCTCGAGTTTAGTCTACTAACACAAACTTCTGCTGTGCGCGTGGCTACCATGTCACAAAGGACCGCCTGCCCAAACCTTTGGAACCCATATCATCGTCACAGGGTCGTCTCTGGAAATGTCCGCTACAGCACTGTAAACAACCCCCTTATGATGTTGAATGCGAACACTCCACTGCTATGCTCCGAGAACCCCAGTACCATCGCCAACGCCGAACATCCTCCCCCCAGATTCCTTCATAAGAAAATTACACTAAGACGTCTGAAGGCTGACTTGCTCTACACCCCTCAATACTTCCTCTTCTGCCGTCTTTGCTGCAGGTCCATCTTGCCCCTTCTCAGCAGCCTCGACAGTCTTGTCACCACCAGCGGCCTTCTTTGCCTTCTTGCGCTCCTTCTCCGCCTTCTTAGCCGCCGCCTTCTTAGCCTTCTCTTCCTTTGCTTTGCGGGCCTCTTCACCTCCGAACTGTTCTCGCCACTCTTGCTCCTTTTCAGGCTTGATTTGAGTGAAGAGGTAACCGGCAGTACCAATCTTGTGGCCAACGGGCAGCGAACGTGCCTCCCAAGTGTCTGGGATGATAAGGAATTCTGCGTTGAGTTGCGAGAGGATGGCGTTAGTAGTGTCAGGCCTGTCGCACAGTTAGCCATGTGTTCAATAGTGTCAGTTTCATAGTCTTGTGTAGCTGTGTACAAAGGCTCTCCGTGTCACGCGGAATGACCCTCGCCGATGTGTGTACAATGAATATTCCGGATATCGCCATCCCGAGCATGCAAACAACGTAAAAAAGATATTTCACTTACATATAAGGTTGAATCAGACTGGCAAGGAGATGGATCTGGCTTAGCGCAAGTCCGACAACAGCGGCGCATCGATCTGGCTGCTCAGTGGCCAACTTGTTGTCTAGGCGGTTATCTTGCAGAAGCAAGTTACCCAAGCTTGAGACGTGTAACGCAGTAGCAAGACCAGCACGGATCTTGACATCTTCCAGCTCTGCAATGTACGTCTTGAGCAATTCGTTAACCTTCTTCTTGTGCTCGGTAAAGTAGGGGTCGTCAAACTTGGTGTAATCAGGCACAACCGAATCGTAGATTTTTGCGTTGTTGACGAATTTGATGACGCGATTGATGAAGTTGCCAAGGTTCTTGAGGAGTTCGTTGTTGTTTGCCGCAATGAAACCATCCCATTCGAACTCGGTATCTCCAGTTTCCGGGCGATGCGAAAGGAGGTAGTAGCGCCACACATCAGATGGAATACCAGTCTCTTTAGCATTGTTGCCAAATACACCAATGTTTCTTGATTTGGAGAACTTGCCCTTCTCGTAATTCAGATACTCGGTTGTTGAGATGGTGTTGAGCATGGTCCACTTGTCCTTGGTACCAATCTGCGAACAGGGGAAGACAACGGTGTGGAATGGTACGTTGTCCTTGCCCATGAACTGGTAGAGCTTGACTTGCTCAGGGTTATGCCACCACTGCTTCCAATCCTCTGTATAAGTTGCTGTAATCGAGACGTAGCCTATACACGCGTCGAACCACACGTACATGACCTTGTCCTCGTAGCCCTGATTTGGTCAGTTGAGTTCTGGTCAGATCTTAGAGGATTCGTCGTACCTCAAGAGGCACTGCAGTACCCCACTTCAAGTCTCGCGTGATACCGCGCGGTCGCAGACCTTCTTTGAGCCAGGAGGAAGTAATCTGAACACCATTGGAGCTCCAGTTTCCCTCTTTGCTTGCCTTCTTGAACCACTCCTCCTCCAGCGGCTGTAGCTTGTCCAGACAGAGATACACGTGCTTGGTCTCGCGCGGAACTGGTGTTGCGCCATCGAGCTTACACCGGGGGTTTTTCAGCTCCAGGGGGTCAAGGAGATGTCCGCACTTGTCGCATTGATCGCCTCGCGCATCATCGTAGGCGCACAGCGGACATGTTCCCTCGACGAATCGATCAGCAAGGAAGCTCTTGTGTGTTTCACAGTAAGGTTGTGTTGTTGTTTGCTCCTCAAGATAGCCATTCTTGTACAGCTTTGTGAAGATGTCTTGTGCGATATCAGTCTGCTGCTGTGTAGGTGTGCGTCCGAAGTGATCAAACGAAATGTTGAACCACTTGTAGACCTCGCTATGCAGCGCATAGTACTTGTCGCAAAGCTCCTTGGGAGTTACCTTCTCTTCAATTGCCTTTGTCTCTGTGGCCGTTCCATACTCGTCTGTACCGCAAATGTATAGTGTGTTGTATCCTCGTGCGCGCGAGAAACGGGCGAAGACGTCAGCGGAAAGTACGGATCCGACAATGTTGCCCAAATGTGGAACATTGTTTACGTATGGAAGAGCGCTAGTAATGAGCACATTGCGCTCGCCCTCGACGGGCAGAATCTTCTTTGGTGCCTCGGTCATGGGAAGTTGCGTCCTTTGAAGGTGTTAGTGTGATCAAGTTTTGGGAAAGAGGATGTCGTCTGTTCTTACTACTGTTTCTTCAAATGGGATATGTATCAATTGTGAAACAAAATAAACGAGATCAGCACGTGTATATCGGAATGTATGCGTCCTCGCCGTGATCTAATAGAGTTTCTGAGTCAAACGCGACAGCCACGGGCTCCGATGTGTGTGGTTGTAGCAGCCCCGCCAGAACCGACCCCGCCGCGCCAACGCCACAAAAATGACCGAACCCTGAATCCGATCTATGCTCGGCGTGGGCCTGAGGGGCAAAGTCCCAAGTACTGCAAATACTATGTTCTACTAGATTTGTAAGCCCTCGAAGAAAAGCAGCTTGGAGGAAAAACACGGCAGTGTCTTCGTCCACAATTAAGAACAACATTGCTTCAAGAGATATCACACAAGGCTACCAAAATTATTCTTTGAACCATCATCCAATGTCTCAGCAGCCGACATCTCAAGATAACGTCTCCGACGACCCCTTCGACACCCTCCTAACCCTGGAAGACACCCTCTACACTGCAGCCTACGACCTCGGCGTCTCAGACGGCGCCCACGCCGGTCGAATCGAAGGCCGAATCTTTGGACTCGAAAAAGGGTTTGAGAAGTTTGCCGCTCTTGGCGAGCTGCATGGGAGGAGCGTAGTATGGGGTTTGCGGCTCCCCGGCCTGACCTCTGAGCCGAACATAAGCAATGTTCAAATCACCAAGTCAGAGGACGGAGGAGCTGATAAGAAAAAAGAGAGCCAAGAGAGAATACCATTGCTTTCAAAGAATGAAAGGCTAAAGAACAACGTTACGCTGCTGCATTCCTTGACGGACCCAGAAACTTTCGACACAGCAAACACTGAAGAAGCAGTTGCCGACTTTGACGATCGGTTCAAGAGGGCTGGAGCCAAGGCAAAAGTCATTGAGCGCATTGTTGGCGAAACGGATACCACTGTGGCGTCGTCAAAGTCACCTGACGGTTCACCCGCCAGAGCAAAGAGCGGGGGACCCGTGCGCATTACAGGGCAAACAAACAAAGGTAGTGGAAACAAGGGCGATGATAGTATCGAGGACTTTGCGGGGTCGAAGCTGTTGAGGTGAAGTCTTCCAAACACCAACACTCGTGTTACCCAGAACGGTTAGGCTCCACTTTGTATCGGTATCATCCACAGATGCAAGGAGGATTGAGCGGCAGAACGAAACAGTGGGGCCGCATCTCCGAAGCCGCTGCATGGCGCTATCCGGCAAGTCTCACAACATCCATGTACAATGACCTGATCCGAAGCCGATAGAGGAAAGAGCAAGGGAGAAATGGGAAACAAGGTCATCCGCAAGGAAGCCCATTGCACACTGTAACAAACAATGGTGAAGACCAGTTGGCTTCGAATTACTTTGCTATCCTAGAAGGAATCTGGGCGACAACCCAGGTCTCAGCCCAACCACTACACCGTGCTATGACATACGAGATCAGAAAGAAGTTAAAAAGGTCCATCGTAACTAAAAGGATATTGAGAAAGGTGTCAAATCTGAAGTGTGCCGCAAAGCCTCTCGCTCCCTCCCCATTTTCGTGCTAGATGATGCACTGGTATCAAAACGTTCCAAACTACCCTCCGCACGCACTGCCCCCTCAGACACGCAAAGCTCAGACCGGATCCATAGAATAGTGCCTGTCCGAGCGTGGATCCATACGCGGCGGTGGAGGGCCGCCAGGCCTGCCTGCGTTGCTATCGACGCGACTATGGTGCGGGAAGTCCTAGTACCCGTTCATGGTCATGCGCTGGCTGCTCCTGCTAAGCTCGCGATCAGCGGCAGGTGAGATGGGGCGCGAGGAGTGGCCTCCGTGGGCACTGCTCTCCTTGAGCGCAAGCAGCTGCTTAGCACGGAACGATTCGTAGTGGATTTGTGCGGTCGTCTCGATCAGGTCTTGCAAGTGGGTGCGGGTAAGGAAGTTGCGGAGGTATACGAATTCGCAGTGGTTCTCGTCCTCGACTACGACGCGTCAATTCATTTGCGTGAGAAAAAAAGATGGGTCTGCTGTTGCTTACCATTGATAATACCCCACTTGTTCTGGCGGCCACGGACGTTCTTGCCATTAACAACAACAGTCCTCTCGGAACCGACAACGGCAAAGGGCAAGAGCTCCTGCTACATGTTAGCTGCTGCCCGTCTCAAATACCAGCCCACTTCCAGCATACCTTGATGGCCTGCTTTGCCTGGACTTCCTCGCTGTCATCCTCCTCGTTGTCGTAGGGGTACATGCGCAGGTTGTGGAACTGGAACTCCTCCTTTATCCTGTGCTTGAACTCGGCACGCTCCTCCAGCGTCAAGCTGTCACTCTTGGCAATGACGGGCACGACGTTGACAAACTCGCTCAGCTTCTTGAGGACAACAATGTCAATGGGCTTCAGGGCGTGACCAGATGGCTGGATGAAGAACAAGCAGCAGTGGATACGCGTGTCCTGGAGGTACCTCTCACGCTGAGCGGTGAGCTCCTTGCGGAGGTAGGCGCTGTGCTGGTCCTTGATGTACTTGACAATGGGGTCCCAGCAGCGTTCGTTGTTGATCAAGTCGCCGTAGCCGGGGGTGTCGACGATGTTGAGGCGGAGACGCACGCCGTTTTCCTCGATGATGTGTGAGACGGGGTGGATGGTGGTAGTGCTGCGGACCTCCTCGTCGGGCTGGAAGCGGCCCTTGCTGTCCATAAGGTGCGAGGCGAAGAGCGTGTTGATGAGGGTCGACTTGCCCAGACCCGTCTGGCCTGGTTACACTTGTCAGTGGGCGTGTACACAAGACAGTCATGTTCAAATAGCAGTTCTTACCAACACAGATGACGTTGAACTGGAAGCCCCGCTTGATTGACTTGCGCTCAATCTGCTTGGTGATGCTGTCGAAACCGACATAGCTGTCAGGGAAGATGGGCTGCGACTGGTTCTGGTACGCGGCAGCCATTGTGGGTGGTGGGGGCCTCGGGTGGCGGGTATGTAGCTAAGAAGAGATGCGGAGAGTGAATGTTATGGGGGAGCTAGACCTTGTGGCAGACGGACAAGGTAAAAACAGAAAGGGTCTCTGGCTGGGAAGTAAATAGTCAGGGTCGCTGCGCTGGCGACTTTCTCGCGGAGACACCAGGCGCGGGAAAGGGGTCGGCCTTAGGAAGCGAAAGCGCGCTAGTGGGAGGGCGGTAAGGCGCGACCTGCACGCTCGGACACCCGTGCGCCGACAATTTGCAACTCCATCACCGCCATCGCCAACATTGCGGGCAGCCCAACGAGAGAAATGGCTCTTGCTCGCCCACTTCCCACGCTCTGGCAGACTCTTCTGCCGGGCCTCAATGCCTCCACCCGACCCGTCTTGAATGCGCCCTTTCTGCAACGTCTCGCACAGCCCTATGGTGCACTGCATACACCTTTCGGCGCACTCGCAATACCCTCACTATCACTGCCAAAGATACCGTCATTAGCGGACATCTGGGACGGAATTCTCAATGCAGTGCCCAAGAAAAAGACATCGTATCGCAAGAAGCGACAACGGTTCATGGCTGGGAAAGGGCTGAAGGATATCACATCGCTGAATAAATGCTCAGCATGTGGGAGGGTCAAGCGGCTGCACATTCTCTGCCCATACTGTGTGGATGGTAAGTAGCTGTCTCAAGACATGCTGGTGGTATTTTCTGGGCATACAGCTGACAATTGATGCTAGCAATCAAAACTAACATCTTCGGCCAGCTCAATTGGGCTATTCGCCGACCTACCGATAAGCAGGCCAAACAGTTCGCGCGCGAGAGACGAGACGAGGCACGGAGAAAGCGCACCGTAGAGCCCGACCCACGCAAAGAGAAGGAGGAACAGATCTTGAAGCATACGGGTTGGAGGAAATGATGTCACCACCGAGAGTGATTATGGGGTAGGAATGGCAGCATTTAGTTTTCCCTCCGTTGGACATTCTTCCCACCTGCGCAGCGGCGCCGGATGGGAAATGAGAATTTTCTTGTACATTGAAAATGTAACAACACATGGCATTGGGCTCGAGTCATACTATATACACGAGGCACTTTGTAAGGTCGAACCACGCGATCCGAGGTGATCAAGCACCAAGGGCTTTATTATACCACGGTCCACAAAAAATCTGCAGACGAATATGGTGTATGCTATATCAGTATATGCATCCCAAATGCAATTCACTTCCTTTCGCTGATGCCGAGCCCACTCTCTGTCCTGGTCATCTGACTCACAGTGCTTCCTCTCCTCGAAGCTTCGTCCTTGCCCTCGGCAGCTTCCCGCTCAAGGAAGTCTTGCCATAGCTCGGCTAATGATTCCTTGTTGCTTGAGCTGCTAGCCATGAGCATAGGATCTACTTGCGAGCTTAGTGACGGTGTCGATGGTGTCCGCCGGAAAGGTGCTAAGGGGAGGCGGAGACTCCCAGAGTTGGTTGCCGTGCCTGGGCGGGCGAGACCTGCTTGTTCCTTTTGCTCTACATTCTATGTTAGATTATGCCTGTAGCAGTAAATGACATTGAAAACTTACCATCAGTCCATCCCAGCAATGCAGAAATCAACTGTAGTGCCTCAAACTTCTTGGGATCGCTGCGGTCAATGCTGAGGAAATGCAGGAAGTAATTGGTGATGATCTGGCGATCGACATTATCCTCTGGTCGGCCCTTCTTCAAGATGCGCAAGGCTTTGGTGAGGTGCTCATTTAGCGTGACAGCTTCATGTCGCAGCTTGCCAATCAGTAGGTTCTTCTCTTTGACCTCCTTTTCAAATGGCAGTGCTCGCTCAAGGTCTTTCTTTGTCGACTCAAGTGCTGCTTTGGCGGCATCTGCAGCAGCGTCTGCAGCTTGCACTTGTTTACGGAGTTCGTTGATTTGAGATTCATACGTCTCAACAGACTTTTTGAGCTCGGCTTTCCTTACTACAGATTGTTAGATTGCTGGAACGAGACAAGATCGACGATACTTACGGTTCTGGACCTCCTGCAGCGCTTTTTGTAGGCCTTCTACAGCCTGGCTGTTGGTGTCCCTGTCCCTAGCAGCTTTCTCATACTCATCCTTGATTGACTCGAGTTGCTCTCGTAACTCTGCATCTTTCTCTGCAAGGTTCTCACGTAATGACCGCTCGTTCATGGCAAGCACCTCCCAGTCCTGCATGGCCTGCTTTGCATTCTCAAACTCCTCTTTTGCGTATGCCTCTCGGGAGATGAGTTCATCGCGTTCTTTAATCCAATTTTGTTGTGACAAGGTGGCACGGCTTCGCAGGGTCTCAATCTCTGACACTTGTGCCTCCTTTTCCTGCCGTAGCTTTGCAAGTTCTTCTGTGAGACTGTTGTTGTGCTCTTGTAACTCCCGGTTTTGGTCTTCGAGGTCCGCGACTTGCGTCTCGAACTCTTCAATACGAGCCTACAACTTGTCAGCATTCTAGAACAACCCTCGCTACAACACAGCATCAGAGAGGAGCACCGACCGCATCAGCCTTCAGTCGGTCACCCAGACTCGTCTTGATCGTGTTTACCCTGCCCAGCAGGTTCTTGTACTGAGTCTCGAAGTGTTCCTTGCCCTCGTTTGCCTCGTCCAATTCCTCCCTTAGGCTTCGAATTTCCTCCTCGTGATTGCATTGGGACCCGTCGGCCGCGCCTGTACTCTGCTTGCTTTGAATACCCTCTAGACTCTTCCTGAGCTCGGTGACTTCCTGACGTAGCGCATCGCGCTCCTTTGCTATCGCGTCGAGGCGGGCGCTCGTGTCGGAGGCGGGCGGTGGGGATGGAGAGAGCCCTTGATGCGAGCGTGAGCGTGCTAGTCCTAGAGCAATCGCAGAGGAAATGCTGTGGTGTGGAGTACCGTTTGTTTGTATTGTTGGAGACACTGGTGGTTCGTCGTCTACATCATCGGCGTCCGGGTCTGCAGCGTGCGCGGTAGACTTCTGTATTTCGCAATTTTAGCACCAAGACATACATGCAAGGGGTGTGACATACAGTCTGCTGTTGCTGCTGCTCCCCTTCACCCTCAGAGTCGTCGTCATGATCGTCTGGAGCCGCCTTGCCGTTGCCACCATTTGCTTTTGCCGTCTCGTCTGGCTTGCTCGCATTGGAGTTTGATTTCTTCTTATTCTTCTTCTTCTGCGACTTGGACAAAGTTCCTGTGCCTGCCTGTCAGCCTATTACTCAATGTTGCTTCACCACCACCACTTGCGACCGGGGATGCGGAGTTGAGCAGCACCTCCGAAAGCTGCCACCTCACCTACCACTTTGTTGTGCCGGGTCAGATGTGGCTAGCGCAGACATGCTGAGAGACGTGTTATGCAATCGCTACCTCATGGAGAAGATTTGTTTCTGGAAAAGAACAGATAAGCCGCGTTACCAGGGAGTATTCGAGGCTGTCTTGACTTGGCAATTCGTGTCCCGTTCTACGATGCTTTGTTTCGGCCCGCGTGGCGCACGTCATGAGCCACACTTCATTAGCCACAGCCCCTCTGCCTCGGCGCACCATCTGAGCATCTTCCCCTCTTCAGCCCAGCACATGCCTGTTCACCCTCTCCTGTTCGAAGATCATAATACCAAAATATTATCGTTGTGCGAACAATCAATGTCATTGTGCTTTCACATCTCCTGCAGCTTGCCGTTTACCCGGTAAACGGCCTAGTGACCTAGGGACCACATGCACGCGGCGAGTAGATATGCTTCCAACTTATTTCTCTAATACCCTATTACGAGAGTATTACTAGTATTGTATATAGTCAGTGCATGCAACAGGTTACCTGATATAACCCCTTTCTACTGAGAAATTTATCAATATCTCTATTTCTTAAAGCTTCATAGCTCTCTTATTTTTAATCGATATTTTTACTTCTGATACCAAAATTATATGACTGTTTTACTGCTTAATTAAATATAACAGTGGGATTTCCTCCGTATTATAAGGTTTGATCGTAACAGTCTTTCACCTAGATCGCTTTTTACCTGGGGTTTGAGCTCGTTTTCTGGCTGGTTTGGCTGGCGGGGATTCTAGTGTTTACCACGTAATAAGACGCTGTCTGAATATAGGGATTCCCAACGTCTAAACACGAGTATAGCTAATTAGTGTAGAGCTTCTTAGAGCTAATTATATCACGTTTCTTCTTGCACGAAAACCCCTCCCGAAACGATTGTAATCTGCATCCAAAACTGCAACTAGATTCTATTCTATTGAGATAAAGCACCGTGTCGAAGCCTATGCTTACATAGACCAAAGTATTTTTTGAAGTCGCTACTTAGGTGGGCGACGCATTCGGGTATTCTAGAGTGGCTTAATTGAGATTGATGCAACCTTCCCCATTGATCATCCAATATATCCATCACATCAATGCTTCGCTGGAGTTCCCTGTCTACTGCCATGGCTAGGATTTCGCTTTCCCTCCCAGTTGTGTCAATCTGGAAGTTGCCAAAGTAAACAGGGCGAGTCTGAAGATCGGATACAGAAGTATTGAAGGCACGCTCAAAACAGCTTCCTACACTGTGTAGTAGGAGTAGGTATATCCACATTGTGTTCTTCTCTTGGCAGCCTTGACAACCGAGGGATTCCTCAATAGAAGTTATCGCTTGACGAGCAAGGGTTAATACCTGGTCTACTGAGACATCTGCCCGTTGCATGTTCACTCCGTACATGCGATGCAGACAAGCAATTTGGTTTTCGATACAAAAACAGAAATCCACGTGTTCACTACTGTGAGAGCCCTCTGGATGTTCTGAGTGGGCGGAAGACGATGTTGGGCAATACAAGTCGCCTAAAGCATTTTGAATATCGAAACCATCCCGGGTAAGAGAGTTCTGTACTTGGGTTTCGAAGCTCGAGCAATGAAGTGCCACTGAGGTGTAATCTGTAAGAGAAGACATGTCAGGCATCAAGGAATTGCTACTAAGGTTCAGTAGATTTGGCTCAAGCGGCTCGGATAAATTTGCATTTTCATGATTTCCCAAATCTAGCGCTTTGTAATAGTGAGTACGTATATCATATTTGAGTGAAATGGACACATACTTTGCGGGCTTTCAACCCGGTTAGGAACGTCGCAGTTGACGGCCTCACTAGGCTCTATGGATGGAAGTTGAAACGAGCAGTAGTTCTTTGCTTTTGGCTTTCCCCTAGGCAAGCCAGGACTGTTCGTGCAAGTGAAATTTAATCTCTTACACCGGGAGCACTGAGGTTTTGTCCGACAGCACTTGACCTTGGATCTGAAACACTGGTCGCACGATAGATTGGTCCGGACTGGTTGAACTGAATCCATTTGTACTGATGATGAGGCTGCTATGAACACATACGTCTGGTGGCCGGCACACACCGTCTCATGTCTTATACTGCCTAATTACCCCACCAGAATATCAGTGAGTTAACCTGTTTATGGTAAGAGATTGGCCAATTTTGGAAACACGTAGGATATGTTGGGCAGTACCCAGTCTGTTAGCAATCCATGTGAGAAATCATCTGAACATATCTGTCGTCTATTACCCTTTGACCTCACAATGGGGTATTAGTTCCGGTGCTTCACACGATTGCTAGGTTATCTCAACCACCGAGGTAAGTGATCCGGTGGTACGAATGCATGATCAGTCTACAGATTGGGCAGTCATAAGGCCGATTGCATAGTTATTCATCTGTTGGGAGGACACAAGTCTTAGTCATGCAACCCAATAACGAGTTGTATGCATCATCCTTGCCTTTCATCCAAGAAGAGTAAGAATACCTAGCCTCGGTCGCTGTATCCGTTGCTGGAACAATCCAACAATATTTATGGAATGCATTAGGGTCTGTTCGGTTGCTCAGTTTGCTGTCTCTCACCCGGTAAAACCGGAAAATCAAAACGAGCAGCTGTTTCCCAACAAAACCAGCTATCAACAACCGAATTATTCCTATTACAACATGTTAACTCTATGACAAAATTTATTCTACTAAGTACATATCTTACTTGCATAGTCTTGAAATTTTGAATTATTACTTTGTATTTACCAGAGTTATAGAGGCCTAGAAAGTAATTAAATACTATTCTCGCTATGTTTTTGACCGGTTTTGCACTGCTAGGGAGGGCCTCCATTCTCCGGTTCTACCGGGTATGTGAGAGGCCTTCTCCATCTGATTACCGTCTGGCTGATCAGCTGTCTATCCCGGTTGACATAGAAAACGGAGGGATCGTTCGATTGAGCTCCACCCTATCTCTGATCTAATCTCGTGTGGGATCACGTAGGCCACCAAGATGACCACGAAACGGAGTTTTGGAAATGAGATGGATGTCAAGCTCCGTTTCGCTTGAAGAGGTATTAATATGGGGCAGGTAAGCACTAGACGTTACCGAACAGGAGGCCATTCCCATCTCCGTTTTCCGGACGGAGCTCTCAATTCAGTTAGCAAACGGCAAACGGAAAACGAGCCGAAAAGACCCATATTATAGCATCTCGGTCCGGGCGGACTGACCTGAAACTCATCTTTCTGTAGTCTAGTGTTGGTCGTAGAATTCTGTCTACTTACTACCCTTTACTCGGGCCGATATTGAGTCGCTTCTGTTGTGATATGTATATTAGTCTTTTCATACGCTTCAATATGGATATACGAGCAGCTTAGATCGAGATGTCTACTTTTGCGTACGGTTCCTTCTCGCTTCTTCCGTCTGCAGCTATCTAACCATTTACCTAGTAAAGTCACATTCTCAGCAACCCGTTATGCTGTCTCTCGCCCTGCCTATCCCAATGCGCTATACCAAAAAGTTCTAGGTTTCCATGAAGGGCAGCGACAACTATGTATTGACCTAGGAACTGGCCACGGTCTGGTACCCAGATTCCTAGCGTCCAGCTTTGATCGTGTACTAGGATTGGATCCTTCTGCAGGTATGGTTGCCGAGGCGGAAGAGCGAAGCAGCAGTTTCGCAAACTTAAAATATATGCAATCGTCTGCAGAGCACCTGCCAATGATCGCCAACAACTCGGTAGATCTGGTCACCGCTGGGCAGGCCGCCCACTGGTTCAACCACACCAAGGTCTTTAAGGAGCTCCAGCGAGTACTTCGTCCACGGGGCACTTTAGCGTACTGGGGATACAAAGATCACGTGTTGGTCAACCATCCTATCGCCACCAAAGTACTCAATGACTATGCGTATGGAAAAGATCGTCAATTTCTTGGTAGCTATTGGGGTCAGCCTGGACGCTCGATTGTTCAGGATTTGCTGCGATCTGTACATCCCCCTCCGTCGGCCTGGACAGATGTTACAAGAATAGAATATGAGCCTGAAGGTTCCAGAAGCGCTTATGATCCAAACCAAAGGCTGATGTTCAAGCGTATGCGCTTGGGGGAGATGGAGGAGTACATCCGAACCTGGAGCTCTGTACATTCATGGCAGCTCGATCATCCGGATAGGCTGCGTATACGAGATGGTGGAAAAGGTGATGTTGTTGATGAGATGATGGAAACCATGGTGGCATCAGACCCAAGCCTCCAGGCTAATGGTACCAACTGGCGGGAAATGTGGGTAGACGTCGAGTGGGGTAGTTACATCCTGCTTGCACGTAAAAAGTAGAGGTTGTTCTACGGTTTATATATCGGGCGCATCCGCTACTAAGTCTGTATCAAGTAATGCTCGACCTATTCACAAAGAACCTGGTAGATATATTGAGAGCATAAAAAGATTAGTTATAGCTTCTATACTGCCAGTTAAAGAATATTCAATACTACACAATGCCTCCAGCATGACCTAACATGGCAGTGAGTTTGAGCAGGGCCTACCTAGCAGGGACTTTCTGTTCAACGTTCACACAAGGTGTATCACTAGGTGAAAAGACACTATGGGGAGAAAGGTCCAGGCTTGCTAATCAACCAATTCTTTGGGTATGTCTTTTCAACGTTGTGTCAATGTCAGTTTCACTGGCCTGGGTAGAGTGAATTTTCTCTCGAGTTTCTCATGAGAAGCTATTGTCTTCTACACTAATGGTAAACCCGCGTCAAAAATATAACTGCATCTCAGCCAGAAATCGCCACCTGAAACTATCCATACTGCACTCATCCCAACGCATTGCACATCCACTGGTAAGACCCCAAGAATACTGCACCACCCATACCAATCCAAATCACCCTTGGCCCTATCCCTACATAAAACCCTCGTGGCCCAGTCTCCTTCAGTATTACCAACAACATGGAATACATGTGCTGTTTCCTTCTTGCGAGCGTTATCCGTGTTTTCAATACATCTAATGGTGTTGTGATGCCTGCAGCCACCGCACCAGCTATACTTCCTAGTAAGCCACCCTCCATTGCAGATATCTGCCCTTGCTTTTTTTGGGACTGTCGGTGCTTCTTTAACACCTCCCAAAGCGGGAACTGTATAGTGGTGAATGGGATTTCGCGGGTTATCATGATTGACCAGCCACGATATAGCTCTTTCTGCACCTGCCATAACCCGCGTGCATGTCGTTGGTTCAGAATATACATTAGTGCTGCCTTTGCACTCGGCTGTTGGCCTATCTGTACCCGCTGTTTAATAGCTTCTGCCGGTGCCCTGACTGCGCATGCGGCTATCTCCCCTAGACTTGCCGCTGCTATATGTATGCTCGCCTCGTTGGTTTCATTATTAGCATGGATACAAGGCTTTTCCTCAGTATTGTAGCACCCGGAATGTTGTTGAGTAAGCTTCCGCTTTACTGAGTCGTAAGTGATGAAGAAAAGAGCTGCGCCTGGCACAGATCCAAAAGCTATACTGCCTATACCGTGGTAGACACCATTGAACCCCCCAGAGGCAGCAAAGCCAGCAGAGGATTGGAGACGGGTTTTCAGCGTATCAAGTGGATAGAGAGAGAGGTCTGTTATTATGCCGGCAAGACCGCCAGCCTATATGGTTTAGTTTGTGTTGGTCGGCCTCTCGATACAAGAAGAGAAGAGAAAATGCCTGGAAGGGAGCATGTGTTTGATGCTAATTCCTTGCTATTGATGTAAAAAAACAGCAAAGGGAGGCAAACGTAACAGCAAGACCGATAATTACCTTGTATCTGAACAAGAGCTGACACATAGTAATGGAAAACAAAACAACTCACAATTATAGACCGCAGATATGGCGATATAACCCAGGGATATTCAGGCTGTGAAACAAAGACCATATTACGTGACGAATGAAAAGCTTAAACTTGCAGATAGCACCCGTGTTATACTCATACCCGTACGGATTGTGACATGGTCCACAAGGAAACCTAACCTGGCGGAGAAAAACTTGGATGCAGCAGCGATGAGAAATCTAGGGAGACAGACAGTTCAACTCCTATTGGAAGGAATGGTTGAGTAGAGACTAGGCTGATACGGTCCTACAAAACATACTAGTCCATTTTAGCTCCAAATCATGTATGTTAGGTAAAAGCCGATGGAAATCACCGATCGGTTTATTCATTAGTCGGGCCGAATCAGTCTTCCTTCTTACTTACCTTTGCAACACTACAAATTCTGTGCAGCACCGCGCGGGAGTTGAAAAGCTCTTGTGAACTATACTTCAGATTGTCTTATCTTTCTTATCATAGTTTCGGCCATGACGTCACCCTCAAATCAACCGAAGCGAAATGAGAACACTCTTGTAGATCAAACGAACCTCCTCCCCCGCGCCCGACTCATCATCGTTTTTGGGACCCTGGCTTTTGCCTTCTTAATCACATATGCAGATCAGAATGGAATCGCTGTGATCTTGCCAACAATGGCGAAAGATCTGAATGCCCAAGACACCATCTCCTGGGCAGGCACTTCTTCGTTTGTTGGCAACACCGTCTTTCAAGTGCTCTACGGCCGGCTTTCCGATCTATTTGGCCGTAAGGTGGTCTACCTATCGGCACTTCTGCTGTTGGCTGTAGGCGATATCCTGTGCGCGACTGCTCAAAATGGAACTTCATTGTACATTTTCCGGGCCCTTGCTGGTATTGCCATGGGAGGTATCAACTCGCTTACCATGATCATTGTTTCCGACATTGTTACCCTTCAGCAGCGTGGTTATTATCAGGGCTTATTGGGTGGATGCATTGGCCTGGGTAACATGATAGGTCCATTCGTCTCCGCCGCATTTGCAGAAACGTCTTCGTGGCGCAACTTCTTCTACCTTGTGGGACCCCTGGCTGCTGCTTCAGCTGTAATATCGTTCTTCTTAGTGCCATCGTCAATGCCCCCAAGGAAACGCAGAGAAACATTCTCCATGATCGATTACTACGGGATTGCTACCGGCTCAATTGCCATCGTGTTTTTCCTGGTTCCCATATCTGGAGGGGGCTCTTACTTCAAATGGAGCTCTCCCATGGTTATTTCAATGTTTGTCATCTCGGCGCTTGCGCTAGTGGCCTTCCTTCTAGTGGAATGGAAGGTATCTCGCCTACCTGTTATGCCTCGCAAGTCCACCCTTAAATGCATACAAGGGACAACTGCTAACATATTGCTACCTTCTAGTGTCTATGTTCAAAACACCTGCCGTCAGCACCATACTTGCACAGAACTTTCTGTTTGGTTTCGCGTACTACGCTGCACTGTACTACCTGCCAATCTACATGCAGAATGTGTTGGGGTACAGTCCAATTCATGCATCTGGCCTTTTAATACCATTTGTTGCCGTTCAAATGGTGTTCAGCGTCGGCTCAGGGCTGTACATATCAAAAAGCGGTAGATACGGGGAGGTCATTTGGTCTGGGTTTGTACTTTGGACTCTGTCAGTTTTCTTCCTTGATTTTGCTCTCGATTTCCTGCCCTGACCCTCTTCCAACCTGCTGATCGCATCTTTATAATTATTTGACGCCTCGGCTCTGAATTTTGCTAACCAAGAGCACAGGGGGGCTGTGTCTATGTGTTTCTTCAGCCGTACAACCAACCCAGCCATAATTGGGATTGTTGGTGCGATAACAGGTGCTGGTGTTGGCAACGTTTTTCAGCCCTGCCTGATCGCGCTGCAAGCACATTCACCTAAAGCCCAGCGTGCTGTGGTCATATCAAACCGAAATTTCCTACGAAGTCTTGGGGGCGCTGTAGGCCTCGCAGTCTCGTCACAAGTTATGCAGAGTTCGCTCAGAAAGAGTTTGCCGTCTCACCTCCGGTCTCTTGTTTCGTCTTCGTATAGCATCCCTGACCTTCACAATATCCCTGTGACAGATGTTGAGGCTCTACTAGATGCATATATGACTGCATCTCACAATGTGTTCATCGTCCTAGCACCTTGTATGGGCCTATGTCTTTTAGGCTGCTTCTTAGTTAAGGACAATGGACTTTCACGGAAGGAGGAGAACAAAACAGAACAAATACAGGAACAGAGTACAGATTGTTCACAAAAGGCCGAATCTGTGGAAACTGGAGAGAAGAATTCGATGCAGGAGCCGGGTGATGAGATTCTACCATCACAGAAGTGAGACGGTTTCAGCCGTATCTGTAAACGATTGTGGATACACTTCTAGCTTGTTAGATATACTAACACAGTTTACAAGCGAGTCGCCCGCATAAGTGAGGGGCTCACCTATTCCTAGTAAAGAAAGTAGAGTTAAGGTACTCTATAACGGATAATCAATCTATACAAATCTAAAAAAAAGCTTCATTTCTTAGATATAAGATATATTATACTTACGTACTATCTATAAGTTTTATAAATTAAGATCTATAGAGAAGTAGTAAACTCTTTTAGTAGATAGGAGTATTATATAAAGTTTAAGCTCTGTACCTCTCTTACTAGGTCTATATTAAGACTAGTAAGCTTTATGTTTATATTCTATACACATTATCTAGTAAGATAGTAGAGTATTACACCTTGACCTTTTTTCTCTATTTACTATATCGCGTATTAGTTTAACTGTCTTGGAAAATAATAGTAGGCTGCACTCTAACCTACTATGAAAAGAATAGCTATCACTTATATAGTAGTAGAAAGGTTATATAAGATAGTATAGATTATATAATCTCTGTCTCTTTTTGCTATAGCCTGAGGTTCTTAAGGTATAGAGCTTCAAGAGTAGTTATAGCTAGTAGGGTGCGTTACTCGTTTGTACGGGCAACTCGCTTGTAGAACAAGTTAGCGCTTTAACTGCTCTCTTATGTTACTGCAACTCTACCAAATCCTTAAGACCTGTCGATGCGGCATCGATATAACGACCATAACTCTGAAGAGTGTGAATCTGTGCCATGAGGAACTCATACGCCGTAAAGGAGACTGCTTGGCCTAGCCCTACTCGAAGGATTCGGGGACCAATACCCCTATACAAAGCAGGAAGGCCATCTTTTGTGACAAGCTGATGAGTCAGGTAGACTATTCTTCGAAAGTTACTTTCACCAGGTAGAGCTGGCGACTTCTGAACCTTTGTTTCTAGAAAGAATGGATGAATTAGTTTGGTGTTCGAGACAGGTTTCTATAAACACATACTTATAGTATCTATTGGAGCATTGCAAAGCGGTCCAACAGAGCCGGATACTAAGCCGATGAGAGCAGTTTGATATGAGGGTAGAGTTGATGAGCCTCTTCCTCCTCTCTCTAGTGCGTGCGACTTCAGATGACTATACACAAAGAAGTTTGCTATATTATTTACATTAGCCAAGTGCTATAGAAGGGCATTCGAGTTACAAACCTGCTTGGTTTGTTCCCTGGCGTAACGACGTAAGTGAGATTCCCGTCCATAATTTACTAATACCCTCATATCGGACAATATCCAGGACAACCTGGATAGCTCCTCGGGGCTTTGCAGTATGTTTCTGAAATTGCAGTCGAATTTTCACCATCTCCATAGGTGTCACAACAAGTACCGACTCTGTCACCCCCGCTGCTAGACCAGCTGGAAAGAGTGAGTACATAGCTATAAGCAAATTGGCAGTGTCTCTACATACCCAGAAGTAGTCGATGACTTGGATGGCTTCCGTCTGGAAGTGCTAGGAGGGACTTGTAGGTCTCAAAACTAGCGAACCGTATTGCAATCTTAGGTACAATGCCACATAAAACAGGACTGAAACCGCGATAGAAGCCAAGAATACTATCCCTTTGGATTATACTTTTTGAAGTCTGATAGGCATTACGGCCCACTGCTGTCTGCATTCTGACTTTAATTGTATCTACAGCAAGTCAGGAATATCAAGGCGTAGCCATGATGCAACATAGATAGATTGGGACAAACCTAGCGGATGGCAAATAAGCCCCTCCATCATACCCGCACCTCCGCCTGCTAGTCTAATAATCAATCAAATGATCCCCTACAGCCTGAAGGTGAATTTACCAAGCAAGTGTTGATAACTGCTTCTGCCATTTGATGCTCGCTCGTAACGTTGAGAATGTTTCCCTTGGGTCATGTTTGTGTGTGCATAAAAGAGAACAAGAAAAAGACAATATGTAGTGGAGAGACTGTAGGACCAGTCTTAACCACTATCTGTGCATCAGATACTGCAATCGGCATTCCCGAAAAAAAAGTTCCTGTCTCTAGCACATGCTAGCTTGCTGAGTTTCAGCGACGCTTTATTAAATAACCGAGCGGTTAGCAATGTATCGGCCTGCATCAGTGAGAACACCAATTGTAACTCTAAGTTTCTTGGGTAGCTCATTGAGAAATGCCCGACGCTTGTTCCGCATTAATGACCGACCGGACATAATGCGAGCGAGTAGTCTCACCATTATTCGGCCCGTTAGGCTGCCCAGCCAAGAAGTGAACGTCGCTACCCTTATAAATCTATTCATGTCTATCTGATTGTATTTCCCAACATTGACTCATAAAACCTACATCATTCAGCCATATACGAGCTTGTATTACTGCCTACATCCAGCTTCAAGATGGCCCCAGCACTACTTATCGAAGAACCTCCCAACACAACAGAGGCTGCCCAGCCTCAAGTACTGGCAAAGCCAAAAAGCAAAACTCATCAAATCAGGATTCCTCCATTCTCGATCATGAGACCTCTGCCTCTTGGAGATGCGATGGATGGATATAAATATTCTGACATCGGTCGCTACCTTGGTAGAGAATACGCTGATGTTCAGATCCGGGAACTCTTGAAGGACCCTGACTCTGATGCTAAGCTCCGTGACCTTGCTATCACAAGTGAGTTCTACTGTCTCCTGCACATTAGAATGTTAGTGAACTAACCTTGGTTACAAAAACTTCAGTCAGCCAACGGGGTGTTGTCGTGTTCCGCAACCAAGAGATTACCCCTCAGGAGCAGAAGGATTTCACCAACCGTCTTGGTCAACTCACCGGCAAGCCTAGTACATCTGGGATCCATATTCATCCAATGTACGTGTCCCACGAACAGCTTTGCAAACACTGAAGGTATAATCTAACACTACCAAGTAACCATACGTCTCTTGAAGGCGGTAAGGTCGATGCTGAAATGTCTACAATCGCCCGCAACCCAAAGAAGATGTTGTCAAAGCAGACTGGTGTTGACGGGAAGTCACGCGTGAAGAAGCAGTCGGCTGCTGACGGGTGGCATCACGACATTGGTTTTGAAGTACAACTAATCGCCATCTCCCCCTTTGGGCAAACGCTAATTGTTTTTCAAGAACAATACGTCCGACTATACTTCATTGATCATGAGAGTCGTTCCCGAATACGGAGGTTAGACTCTTTGCACTGCACAGTACCCATGAGTGAATTAGCTACTAATTGAATGCAGGTGATACTGTTTTCGCCAGTGCATATGAAGTATACGACAGGCTTTCTGCCCCTTACCAGAAGTTCCTCGAGGGTCTAACCTGCACGTTCCGACCTGTGGGTTTTGAGGAGGACCCCGAGGTTGCTCATCTTTACGCCATCCCCCGCGGATCGCCTTTCAACATTGGTCCCAGTCTCACTGCAGTACACCCAATGCTGCGAACCAACCCAGTGACAGGCTGGCGCACTGTTTTCGGGGTTGGACATCATGCTCAACGAATCAACGAGCTTACAGAAACGGAGAGCCAGAGATTGTTGAAATCTATGTCCGATTTGATTACGGAAAACCATGACCTCCAGGTAGGAATGTCATATTCATAACTTGCCTTTTTATCTGGACCAATAGCACTGACACTTTATATATAGCTACGCATGAAGTGGGGTGTGAATGACTTGGCGGTTTGGGATAACCGTTCTGTTTACCATACAGCCACCTATGATTATGACGGCCCACGAGCTGGACATCGAGTAGTGAGTGTGGCCGAAGCGCCATACCTTGATATGAACAGCGTTGGACGCGATGAGGCACTCTACGGGAAGGCGTAAGAGACAAGGGCAAAATTGAGGGCCATTATGCTAGGTGAAGCTTAAGACGATATCAGGGCAGATATGAATTCAACATTGACGCAGTATCAATGGGTAGACTGGCCAATGACTAGTCCGACCAGGGTTACATGACCCGTCCGATCGTTGACCATTTGATGTTATATAGTCTGGTCGTTCCATAGATCTTGATCAGCAGATTGATCGGTCTATCATCTCAATAAATTCTCATTCGTTTGAAGCTCTTCAGCCACAGCCATTATTTTATTCCAGCTTCCTCGATACTAGAATGCGACAGCATATAGAGCCTATGGCTACTGAGACGACCATAATGTACTGTTGTAAGACACTGGGTAAGGTGCATATGCACCTCATGCCTAGGTTCAGGTCGTCTCCTCACCCCTTGAGCGCCAGCACGCACCCCAGCACCGCAGCTTTAATATTCGTTAAACTCCAGTAAAGAGAATATCCGCACTTGAACTAGCTAGTATACGATATAACTACATTTTCCCGATAGTATAACTACATGGTCCTGTTTTTGTTTTTGTTTTTATGAAGCATCCCCTCTTCCTCGGGACATATCATGCTAGTTGAACCCTGAGGCTCTCGCAACCGTGCTCGGTTCCCCGCGTTGGGGCCGCTCCGCAGATACCAACATGACAACACCACGCCCGCGTAGTCCGTCAATGCTTTCTCCGAATGCGCGGTCGCAAGCACATATGCAATGTATACCGCGGCGACGCCGTAGGTGTGAGCCCTTGGCAGAGACTATATCGCCTGGCCGCTACCTTTCTTTTAATCTAGTTTTATTCACTCATTGAACAAAATCGGTACAATATACGTGAGGAACACTGGAGTACAAAAGACATCCATAAGCCTCAGAGAGAATGGCGACTACCAACACAGCTGCAAGCTACTTTACGCTTAACCCTGGCGGCAGCAATGGAACTACCCATACTAACGGTACTTCCAACACCAACGGCACATCCCACGCCAATGGAATATCCCACACCAACGGTACATCCCACACCAACGGATCGTCCCATATAAATGGCAAGATATCGAAAAACCTTCCAATCGTGATAGCTGGGGGTGGTTGTGTCGGCCTTTTCCTTGCTCTTCTTCTGGCTCAGTCGGATATCCCTAACAAAGTCATCGTCATCGAACCCGAGCAACCTGACCCCAGCTCCACACGAGCAATGGCCCATCAGCCACCGACTTACCCGATATTCTCAAAAGTAGAAGGATTACTGCCAGAGTTAATCAAGACTGGAAGTTTGAGCTCAGGATTGTGCTTCCGAAACAGTTTGCAAAATGGAGACAAGATTATCGCTGAAAAGACTTTTGACAATTCAGGAGAGGGAATGAAGGGAAAGGGACAGCTTTTGTTGCCCCAAGGCAAGTTTCAGCAAGTACTCATGAAAAGATTGGCTGCTTTGGATGAAAAGGCGGAGATTCGCATCGGGGTCAGTGTCACTGGATTAAGACCATCACGGGACAGTGTTGATGTCAAGACGACGCCTACGCCTACCTCTTCACGCCTTGGGATCGAATGGATAGAAGCAGCATATCTCATCGACGCATCTGGAGCGCACTCTACCATCCGAAAAGAGCTCGGTGTCAAACTAGAAGGCGAGACGCTCGCAGCCCAACTCGTAGCCACAGATCTATACTTTGACTTCCACAGCCACGGCTTCTACGACGCAAACTTCATCATCGATCCACAGAGCTACGGCCTCATCGGGCGCATCAGCCACGCAACAGACTCGAAGCCACCTCTATGGCGCGTATCCTACGGTGTGCCTCTGAGCACCACCGAGGAAGAAATCAAGAAAGACGTAGACGAAAAGCTCCGTCTCATGCTCCCCAACAAAGGCAGAAACAGCGAAGGAGCCATCGCCTACGAAATTACCCGAATAGCACCGTACAAAGCGCAACAACGCCTCGTCGAATCCCTCTACCACGCCTCCTCACACACCTGCCTCGTAGGCGACGCCGCACACCTAACGAACCCCTACGCCGGTCTCGGTCTCGCCTCCGGCATGGCTGACGCTTCCTCTCTCGCCGAAGTCCTAATCCACATCATGAGCGACAGAGCACTCAACGAAGAGCGGCTACTGAAGTCATGGTCGGATGCCCGACGCGAAAAGTTTCTAAGCGCAATCGATATGCCGTCGCGTATGGCGTATCAGCGCGTCAAGACAGATGTCAGTTCCGATGAGAAGATACACGAGTTCATGACCAGGGATCCGCTGGTCGGCGCGCTGAACAAGGGTATGCCCGTGCAGCCACCGAGTTTGGAGACTAAAGTGCACGAGTTGGAGGGGTGGTGATTGGGGCGCGTTTATACCGGTAGATGTAGGGATATAGTAACAATGTTCAGTCGTTATAGTACTAGTTTTAAAGTCTTTCCAAGTTATTATTTTGGGTACTTTTGTAACCTTCCCCCTTCTCATTTCGGATTCGTTATAAGAAATGTTAAAACCCCGCATACTGCCCACTTCTGAAACTCGCCTTGTTATTCTTACAACTACAAATGTGTTACTTTTTTTTTTCGTTTTTCAAAAACTCCTCATGAGTTTGTTTTTTTATAGTCATTACGGGGGGGGGGTATTTAAACATTAAAGCAAGTCATCATCGTACCAACTACCCTGGTGGTACATACTCTGGGGCAAAACATCGTCTGCAATAACTGAATTAATAAAGGGGGTCCACTGCTCCGTGTCGCGCTTCAGATCCTCCAGCGTCTGTCCGCGTCGCTCTCGCGCAGGTACCTGCTGTTGCTGCTCTTGCGGCAGCGGCGGTAAGGGCGCAGCCATCCTCGGGGGTGCTTCCGAATGCCTAATCATCTTCCTATACGCGAGCTGCGCCAGCGCAACGGGATCCTGATCGGGGGTAAAATACTCAAGATAGTCTTGCAACTGGGGTACGGGGTTGCTCTCCGGGTAGCCCTCTACGCGCCCGGTTGAATGCTGGTTCCACGAGCAAAGCACAGTGTGTAGTTGCATGCCTTGGACTATGCGCCTCCACTCGTAGGAGATGACGGGGCGCTGCAGGAGGGAGTGGATGACGTTGCTGTGGATCCAGTCGGACTCGGTGAGGCCTTGCTTCTCCATGTGGTGCGCGAGGTGGTTGCAGCGTTCGGTCCAGTCGGAGCTGAAGTGGCAGCAGAAGCCGCAGCCCCAGCCCGTTCGCGTCATGCGTTCTTTGCGTGCGGAGAGCATGTGCGTTTTCTTGTTCCATTTCGTGGTCCCGCTGCAGGGGGCGCAGCGGTGCGATTGCACGTGGTGTGCTGTAAAGTCTTTGTCCAGAAAGTAGATTGCGGGACAGAGATCGCATTCAAACATCTCGGGGCGCTCTTGGTAGGTTTCTTCATGGCGCTTCCAGTCTGCTTTTTCGACGAAGGGTTTCTTGCAGCTTGTGCAGAAGTACTTGTGTGATTTGGTGCAGGTTCGGGATTGTTTGTGCGCCGAGACGCAGGTTTTGAAGTAGTCTTTTTCTTGCACGAGGGGCTTCCGGGATGGTCGCCGCTTTGATGTGATGGAACTGGTTTCTTCTATGGGGCTCGAGAAATAAGAGGACGAGGCTGATGGACCGTGACTTAGGGCATACTCGGTCTGTAGGACATGTTGGTCCCGACCCATGCCAGATGTGCGGGACCATGAGGAGGATGACGATACTGAATCTCGGAAGGAGAGGTCTGAGAATGCGCTTGTTTGTGACGATCGTAAGCTTGAACCTGCTGAAGAGAAACTTGAGACGGAGAGATGTTGTGCGTGAGGAAAAGACCGGGATGGGATATCTGTGTTCGACCAATGGCCATTGTGCTGACCATGACCACCTATACATATTGTTAGCCTCATTGGATACGGACACGCTGCAGCGATGATCGCGTGGAATATACCTGTAGAGCCCTGGTTGTAGCCATGAAACTGCAGCTGTTGATTTTGCAGGTGCGGCCATCTAGGCTGCACACCTTCGAATGAATCATCTTCCAGACCATTCGTCATATCGTACATGTATTGCGAGCCAGCGCTGAGATCCCTGTAACCATTCATTATGTTACAGATGAAAAGAAACAAAGTCAAAAAGCCAGATAAGTATGCTGATGCGCGGAGCAGAAAGAAAAACACATTAGGAAATCATCTGCCGCGGCAAAAAAAAAAGACCTGCATCGTCATTCATATAGTAGGCTGCAGCTGTCGGCCGTAGGCAACCAGAAAGATAGACCAATTTGTGCTGTCAGAGGCCGTGAAGTTCACCTGAAACACGGCGAAGGCCCGCTGACATCTGTTGTTCGGGGGGCCCGTGTTTCGAAACATTCGCCACCGAGGACTCAACACGACGATAATTGGAGGGTTCGCGCATCTAGGGAATGAATGCATGCATGCCTGTATTCCCACCTCGGACGCAGTGCGTTCACCGGTCTAGACGGAGGGAGGCGGTGCAGTTGCGGTTGGTTGTGGGGCTGAAGGCCGAAACACAAACTAGCGAGGGAGGCTGGACGATGGGCCAATAGTCAAGATTCAGCCTAGCTACAACCCGTATAAACCCTCTGCACCCTGATTATCGACAATCTGCAGCGGAACTCATCTCATACGTTTTGTTTCTAAAAGAGAAAGAGTCTGCTCCACACGCTTGGCACAATCGGCCTCATGTCGTCAGCGTCATCTCGGTGTTGCTGCGTTGTCGCCTGCCCAATTTCCCCAGGGTCTTGATATCTCTTCGGCACCGAGGTCGTTCTGACTTGTTCAAAGATAGATTAGGATGTTCCGAATCGTTCTGCCCCCAAGATCTGGCATTAGCCCCCTGAACCATCAGCCACCTCCACGGCGGAGTACCAAACCAAATATGGACGCCAAGCATACGTCGGTAATCTTCCTCAGCCACACCCATATTCTCCTTATCCAATTCCGTTGATCATTGATCCTGCTTCCATCTTGATGTTGTCGCTTACTCTGGGTCACTTCCTCGTCACAGTGATTGTTCTTGTTCTCCGATGTAGTGTACGAGGGTCCATCGTCGAAATTCTCACAACGCTCTCCATCTTCTTGGGGCGTATGGGTACCATCAAAGTCGGCGAAGTGATCCACGCCATCTTCAAAGGTCACCTCAGAAGGTGTCCTTATAGATGGCATTGTCGAAAAGGATGAGCTGCATGAGTGTACCATTGTGTTGTGTTTGTGTTGTGGCTGGGTGTTCCTAGGTATGAATTCGGACTGATTTCGATTTTGAATAAAGCCACTGTCGAGTTTTGGTGCCGAACCGTTATAGAGAAGGGGTCATGTGGTAGGATCTGGTTATGTTCAGTAAGAACGCGTAAGCAAGCGCGTCAATGTACAGGGGATGTCAAGATTATTAGTGAATCACCGATTGTAGTCTGCTGGTCCTTGTTTCTCAGTGAGCCTGCAATGGTACCTCCGTGTCTTCCTTCCTGATTCCCATTCCGTAAGCTCGTGCTCGCTTTGCGCTCCAATGGGATGCGTCGCTAAATAAGCTTTTGGTTCCGTGGGTACATCAGGGCGTCATGACAGAAGTTTCTGGGCGATAGCCTGCGAGTCTGTTCACCCTTAATACTGAAATCGAATCGAATTTTGAGCTAATCTCATTTTCAATAGTCTAGTCACATGACCGACGAAGAAAAGGGGGTTGACATGAAAGGTTTCTGGCCTAGGCGGCAGCGATCAAAGTATAGCACATTACATATGTTCTTCTCATATACAGCGAAGCCTCAGTAATCATCCAGTCGTTGCAAGGCAATCATTTTCTCGCCCCAAGGTTGCAATGTAAGGAAGGACAGAATCTGTTATACATATTTGTAAATACCGTTGCTCATTGCTTGAACATTCGAGGGATTGGAAGGAAATGGTCTAGTCGCCTGGCTGTTGTTGCCAACTCATTGTCCCATGAATGAATGTGTTCCTTCAGGAATGATGTCCAGTCTCGGATCTTGTGCAATTCTAAGCCAACGAGCGCAGTGTCAAGGGCCGACCGAGTCTCATGGGAGAGGCTGGAGTTTGAAAAGTCCAGACTCTTGATCACGCCGTGATGCACCTTGATTTCAATGCCGATGTCATCTTTGGGATCAAGTGTGAGAGTAAACGCTGGGGTCTGTGACCACATCCACTCTTCAGACTACGGCTATTAGCATTGAGAATGATGAACTGCAAAGTTTCCAACATACCCGGAGCTCGTCGTAACCCTTGCGGATATCCGGAATATCTAGAAAATCGTCCCCAACGGTCTGTCCTATGCTCGGCGATCCCAGTCCAGCATACATGAGAGAGAACTCTTTTTGCAGGTGGAGCTGAAATGTCTTGACGTCTAGACCAATGTTTGAAACAGGCGAGCTGACGCTTTCCACACCTTGAGCGCGGATGACACCCTTAGCTGGAGAGCGGAGGTAATGTGGTATGATGTGTAAATTCGGGGAGCTCAGCAGGGTGGTCGCGTGATGGAGGGCGCGTTGCCGTGTGAGCTTGTACGCCGAGCCAGAGACCTTGAGAGGACGAGGGAGAGCTCCGTTCTGTATGGTATAAGGCGTGCGATGGGTGTCTTTGGGGTCAACAGGTTGCCCGTCGTTGCCTTGACCTTGATCGAGAACGATATCGTGACGCTCGTTGACCCTGGAGCGTTGAACACCGAGTTTTCGTAGTGCGCGGACGACCATCTCAGCATGCTTATCGCGTGTGAAGTCGGCGCGTGGGCACGTTATGCTCCAATTGAGATTTCCCTCATCGTGGAAGACAGTGCCTCCTCCCGAGCGGCGGCGCACAAGATCGACGGTGCCAATGCCTGGAGGCTCGCTATCCTTGGGGTCATGTGTCCTACGAGCAGCATCTAGGATGCCTAGATTGACCTCTGACCATGGGTTCTGGTTGCGCCCGATGACGACGCAGGGTCGATTGATATAGAGGAAGAGAATAGTGCTGTCTGGCGGGCTTTTGCGTAGGATGTGGTCTTCGATGGACAGATTGAGGTAGGGGTCGCTACTGGCAGAGACATAGCTTTGCAGCTTATTGGCAGGATCGGCGAGAGTGTCTGTAAAAGTCGAGTAGGAGCATCGTTGGAAGCTGCTCAGCCTGTAGTGCGGCGGACGGAAAAGACGTGTCTGGCTGATAGGATTGCGCGACGCCCTGTCGGCTGAGAGCGAAAAGTAGTTCCGATGAGGGGGGATGACATATTCTGAGAGCAACTTTTGGGCGCAGGAAATAGCGCGGCCTCTCGATGGGGCCATGATGATGGGGAGGGGGGATACGATGTGCCTTTGTCCTGGTGTACCTCGTTAATGAGATCCCCGCGGCCAGGTGCCTGGATGCGCGTTTAGAACATGCAGCTTTGTCGCGTCACCTAACATTTTCCAAATACACTCCAGTCGATATTTTCCAATTGCATCGGGAACCATATATTGAGGTCTCATCTTTGGTATTGCTATCTTTCCAGGCTCACAATAGATTCCCACCCTGTTCCAATTGATCCTGGTTGTTGCATGCCAAGACAACCAGCCACCCTAACCATGAGCGGGAGATCTCCTTGCTCTTCTCCTTGTTCATGACACCAACAACAAATCTTACAGCTCATGAGCATGGCTATCGCATATGTTTCCGCGATGATGTTCATGTTACACGCGTTCTCTCTGCATGTGAACCCGTCATCTAGTTCCGCCAGCGACGCGTGCCCGCGTGACACGCTCATCATCGCGCCACCATCGCACGGCAGCCGTCACTAATGCCTACGCAATTCTATCTTGTAGTCAACATCGGGCGTTACACACTCGTAGTCCTCGGGCTTCATGTGTGGGTTCAGCAGCTCGGGCTTTCCCTCCATCTTTGGATGATTAGCTGCTGGACAAAGGCATCACCCAAGAATAAGGCTTTGCGGTCCCGTGTCTACCATTTGCTTTGCAACTGCTGCTGACCCGTGATTGCAATGCTGTGAGCCTATCTGGCGTCTTTACCCTGTCATTGCATCCTCTTGCCTTCTGGTCTTTCAGATCAGTGAGATATTGACGGGCGCACGGCATAGGTGGGATTGACGTTTCGTTTCAGCTCATACAAAATCCATTGATTCTGTAGCGATCCATTTCCTTTGCCAATTTTCTTTTGCCAATTTTTTTTGCCGAAAAGGCTGTATTGGTAACTTTGTTTGCCTAGATAGTCGAGTGCTTAGCTCTGTATTGCGAAAGAGATGCTGATTGGTACTGTCCTACCACAACGTGATCAGTCTTCGCAACGACTAGGCGACTAGGCAGCCATCTTGTTCAAACCATCTAACCTCATCTTCTACCAAACCAGGTACAGCGCTATATAGAGCCATGGCCTTCCTTTCACACGAGACGTTTCAGAAAGACTATCTTTTCCCGCTTGAAGCAGTACATGACTTCGAGAATGCTGGTAGCGCGGCTCAGTTGGCCGCCTGTCATCCGAAAGAATGGACGCAAGCAGACAATGTTCTTGACTTCGGTGTTCATCTAAACGAAAGCGACAAGCGTAGCTACGCATCCTATTGCACGACCATCAGCTCCGATAAAAAGTTGCTGGCCATCAGCACATCCGCAGAGAAGATATTAGTTTATGACATTGCATCCCAAGAGCTACGAGAGACCCTCGAGGGAACTGGACAAGTCTACTTTCGACCTTTTGTAAATACGAAACCAGATACTGGAATTGCTGACCAGACTCACAACAAATATGCTGCACGCTCTACTGGTTATACCCTTGTGAGCGTCTCAGCTACAGGACGAAACAAGGCATCAACACCCAACCAGCTAATTCTCTGGGATCTGGACCAACACGGGCGCATCCTTGACAAAGAAGAAGGGATCGACGCTAACGCTCTTGCCACAAAAGCAATCAATGCCATTGCTCCAGAACTGGAAAGGCGCCATGAATGGACCCAAAACTTTATCCATACTTCCACACTGCACGCCATGTTTGCAGAGGCACTGAATCAAGTTGCCACAGACTATCGCACGCGGCACAATACCATTTTTGATGACGCACAACTTGGAGCCTTTGGTTCGGTGTCTATGAGCAATGATGGCAGGTTGTTTTTGTACCATTCAAACAACAATTCAACCCAGCAAGGTTCTCGTGAGCCAGACGAACTACCACAGGTGGTCGTGTACGATTTGGATGAAGGCATCGAACTCCATCGTCTTACTGGACACACTGATGCTATTATGTGGTCTGCTATCAGTCCGGACAGCACTCACATTGCATCTGTATCCTGGGATGGTAGTTTACGCGTACACTCTGCCCTTACTGGAAAGCTTGAGTGGGCTGTCGGATGCTCAAAAGAGCAAAGCTGGGCAGGTGCATTCTCGTCGGACTCGCGTTTCATTGCCTGGACCTCCAAATGTGGTCAGGTCGTTCAGGTACACGATGTATTTGATGGAAAGAAGCTCGCCACTTTTCCAGTAAAGCTATCGGACTGGTGCAGATCTCTCCAGTGGCATCCTCGTAAGGCTCAACTTGCTTTTTGCGCTGGAAAAGATGCTTATCTGTGGGATGTCCTCGATGGGCCTGACGGCAAAATGTTGCAACACTTTCAGATTGACGAAGACTGCGGCACGGGCAGTCGAATGGTCTCCATTCAAGATATTGGTTGGATGGATCGAGAGCCCACGCTGTATCTCGAAATCTCAGAGGGAACAAAGATTGTTTACAATACTGAGAGTAACGCCAAAGAGATGTTCAGACGACCTGCTGGTGTTACGACGGGGTACGTTGATGGCGGGATGTACGGAGTCTTCTCGAATGATGCGGGAGATGAGTACTATATCAGCATTGATGGTGATGCAAAGGTGCGGTACTGGCGACGAGGTATCGCTGCCTCCACATCTTGGTGGGAGAAAGATCCTGGCCCTGTAGCCAGTCCGAAAAAGATATTCCCCGATACTGGAAAGTACGTTAAGATTGTCAGATCCGCCAGTAAATCTACAGAAAAACAGTAGGAACAGGGAGATGAATGGGTTGCAGTAGGCATAATGGTCTCAACTACCGAGGTAATTGCTTAGTGATTGCGTTGGCGATGTCATCTGGCTTTCATCCGATCGCGATAGCTGCTTTAATGATCGATTATCAATTCCTTCGCTTCTCTCGTGACATGTTGTGAACTTGTATTTTCGTCCGCGAAA